CCCAAAGGACTGGCAGGGTCCCTCCCAGAGGCCTCCTTGGCTCATCTTTAGGTGTTTGGCACATATGCAAACACGGCAGGATGTCAAATGTTTTATTCCACTTTATAACTCCAAGAAAGGGACATTGGCCAGGACCTAGTCACACACTGAATGGCCTCAGGGCACTCACTGCCTGTCTCTTGTCCCCCTGCACATGGAGACAGGGTCCGGCAGCAGCCCTCCCAGCTCTGAACCGTAACCCCAGTTCTAGATAGAATAAGGGCAGCAAGAATGATTCCCCAGATAATACCAACAGCCATGTTTGCATCCCAACCTCCCAACACTAACCTGGAGTCCCTGGGGAGGGTCAGGGTGATAGCAAAGAGCATGTGGTCTGGACTAGATTGGGCTCTGGACAAGTTTCAGCTCTGGCACTCCTGACAGGGGACCTAGAGCCTCAGATACCCTTGGTAAACCCAGGACTGCTGACACATGCCTCCGGGGGATGATGCAGGTTACAAGAGGCAAGGCCTGCACCACGGTGGTGGGTATTGGGGGTCCTATGAGACCATTCAGTTGTCACCTTGCCTCATTATTCATTCATTCTACAAATATTCACTGAGATTCCTGAAGGCTCAGGCGAGGCAAAGTACTAATTGCTGCAGAATGAGCAAACAAGAGCACGTGCTAAGTGCTGCGCAAACATGCACCTCAGTTCATGTTCTCAGCAGCCGGTGAGGGACGTGCTACTATTATCCTGATTTTACGTGAGGACATTGAGGCCCAGAGAGGTGACATACTTTGTCCAGGATCACACAACAAAGAAATGGCAAAAACAGGATTTGAGCCTATTCTCTTGAGTGAATAAATTAATAGATGTATATTCTTGAGGGCACTTAGGAAGAGGGATTTGCAAGGCTTTCACTTCCTTCCCCCAAGTGAATTGTCTACACTAAACTATGACTGTCACCTCTCTACAAAGCCTTGGCCTGTTGTTCATATGCAATAATAATAACAGCAATGGCCATGCACATCCTCTGTGCCAGAACATGTGCTGTAAGCTATATACACTGCATTCCTCTCAGCGCCCTAGGAAGTAGGTGCTGCTGTTATTCCCACTTCACAGACAAAAGACTGAGACTCAGAGAGGTTATGGAATGTGCCCCAAGTCACACAGGCGGAATGAGGACTCAGACCCACACTGTCCCCAGGATCCCTCTGTGTCCACCAAACTTTAGAGATGTCCCTCAGACAGGTTTTGAAGTCAGTTTTGGGTTGAATCCTGGCTCTGCCACTTGCTGACTATGTGAGGACGGTTCCTCTGTGATAAAGTCAGGATCATGATGCTGACCATGGTGGGATGCAGCCATGCTGACCTGATGAATGTGAGGTTCGGGGTGGTGCCTGCCACATCATAGGTGCTTACTACATCCTCACCACCACTGTTCTCATCATTGCTCCCTGGGAGTGCCTGCCCAGGAGACAGGGAACCTTGGCATGGGTCACTCTGGGCCTGGCCCAGCTCCCCTGCCATGTGCCCCAGCATCTGGCCCACTCCTTGTGCCAACCCCGATCCTCCTTTCTCCAGACCTCGGGCACCTGGAGTCCTGAGGCTGCCTCCTAGCAGGGGTGTGGTTCACCAGAGGCCACAAATATTTACCTTGGAGACCTCAACCTGGACCAAGGTCTTGGCCCAGATACAAAGGGCAACTGCCTGGACCAGGGCATCGAGGATATAAGGCTGGACTTGCAGACCCACTGGCCAGGTGAAGAGAGGAGCAGACGGAGGACTCCAGTGTGTCCAGGTAAAAGCATAGGGAAGGGGTTGAAAGCCTACAGCACTAAGAAGGGTCTGAGCTGGAGACACCTGGGGTTGGATCTGGAGCAGGAGGGAGGCTTAGCCCTGAGGTAAGGTCTCTCAGTCCACTAGGACCTCTGAGTGTCCGGGCCAAGGGGTAGAGAAGGGCCAGCTCCTTTGCCCAGAAGACCAAAGAGTGGTGATGAAGGAATCAGACTGAGACTCTCCCTGACCTCAGCCTGATGACATGCACCCATGCTGTATACAGCCCAGTGCTGGGATGATTTGGGGGACAAGAAGAAGTATCATATAGACCTGACCCTCAAGGGACAGCCAGTCTGGGCCATTGTGGTACATGCTGTGCTCAAAGAAAGCCCAGGGACATTGTGGAGGTTAGTCAGGGAAGTCTTCCTGGAAGAGGTGGCAGATCAGCTAAGAAACTGAGTAGAAGTTGGCTAGACAAAGGAAGAGAACAAGGCATTCCACACAAAGGGAAAAGCATAAGCAGAGGCCAGAAGGTGAGATACAATGGGGCAGACGTGTGTGTGTGTGTGTGTGTGTGGTACTTGGATTTGGGGAGGAGATGCTTTCTTGAAGGAAGAGATAGATCCTATTGGCTCCTTGAGCATCTCAGATCAGAGGACAGAGTGGTGAGCCAAGACAATGGAGGGCAAACCGGATCAAGTGCTTGAAAGAAAAAGATTATGCAGTGGGGGTGGGAGGCTTCCTGGGCAAAAGAATAGAGTGCAGGATGTCTTCTCTGTGACTTGACTGCAAGGTGATTCCTTCTGACCCCACATTAGTACTAATGACTGTCATAGCAACAGCTAACATTCATTGAACACTTGTGTCAATGCCAGGCCATGAATAGACTGTCTCATTTAATCCTCCCAACAAGCCTGTGATAAGTACTATATTTATAAGTACGATAATTATCTCTTATTTTATAGATGAGAAACTGAGCCTCAGAGAAGGTAAGTCATTTGCCCAAGACCACAAGTGGCAGAGGCAGGCCTCCACCTTAGGTCTATCTGCCTCTGAAGCCCATAGTATTTCTCCTCTGCCCTCAGGCCTCCTGACACTCAGGGATCAGGGTTCTGTGACTTAATGGGGCCCCCATGGCCCAGACATCAGTTTAGCAAGCTGAGATTCCCTATTCTTCAAAGGCTCCCAGAGGCAATTCATTCATCAGCAACCACTCATTTATTAAACACCCACTGTGTGCCAGGCACTATGCTGAATACTGGGACACAGTAGGGAGCAGATAGACCCCACCCTCTCTCCTGGAGCTCACAGCCTGGTCAGGGAGGCAGTTGTCAAGTCAGCATTTGGCCCTCGGCATCTGGGAGGGTGCCGAGTAGCAGTATGGCAGGGCCGTGGCAGGCCATGGGCTCCACAGTGTGCCTGGCCTAGAGGTGCGGGTGTGCTTGCTGACCCCGTGACGTGTGTCGGGGCCAAGAGGCAGGAAGCGGGAGTGATGTGGGCACAGGCTCTGGCACTGGGCTAGGCCTCCCACAGAGGGGCATTGTCCATGGGCAGCAGGCATGGCCAGCCAGGGAGCCCAGGCAGGGGCACTTGCCTCTCTGGAGATGTGCCCAAAGGACTGGCAGGGTCCCTCCCAGAGGCCTCCTTGGCTCATCTTTAGGTGTTTGGCACATATGCAAACACGGCAGGATGTCAAATGTTTTATTCCACTTTATAACTCCAAGAAAGGGACATTGGCCAGGACCTAGTCACACACTGAATGGCCTCAGGGCACTCACTGCCTGTCTCTTGTCCCCCTGCACATGGAGACAGGGTCCGGCAGCAGCCCTCCCAGCTCTGAACCGTAACCCCAGTTCTAGATAGAATAAGGGCAGCAAGAATGATTCCCCAGATAATACCAACAGCCATGTTTGCATCCCAACCTCCCAACACTAACCTGGAGTCCCTGGGGAGGGTCAGGGTGATAGCAAAGAGCATGTGGTCTGGACTAGATTGGGCTCTGGACAAGTTTCAGCTCTGGCACTCCTGACAGGGGACCTAGAGCCTCAGATACCCTTGGTAAACCCAGGACTGCTGACACATGCCTCCGGGGGATGATGCAGGTTACAAGAGGCAAGGCCTGCACCACGGTGGTGGGTATTGGGGGTCCTATGAGACCATTCAGTTGTCACCTTGCCTCATTATTCATTCATTCTACAAATATTCACTGAGATTCCTGAAGGCTCAGGCGAGGCAAAGTACTAATTGCTGCAGAATGAGCAAACAAGAGCACGTGCTAAGTGCTGCGCAAACATGCACCTCAGTTCATGTTCTCAGCAGCCGGTGAGGGACGTGCTACTATTATCCTGATTTTACGTGAGGACATTGAGGCCCAGAGAGGTGACATACTTTGTCCAGGATCACACAACAAAGAAATGGCAAAAACAGGATTTGAGCCTATTCTCTTGAGTGAATAAATTAATAGATGTATATTCTTGAGGGCACTTAGGAAGAGGGATTTGCAAGGCTTTCACTTCCTTCCCCCAAGTGAATTGTCTACACTAAACTATGACTGTCACCTCTCTACAAAGCCTTGGCCTGTTGTTCATATGCAATAATAATAACAGCAATGGCCATGCACATCCTCTGTGCCAGAACATGTGCTGTAAGCTATATACACTGCATTCCTCTCAGCGCCCTAGGAAGTAGGTGCTGCTGTTATTCCCACTTCACAGACAAAAGACTGAGACTCAGAGAGGTTATGGAATGTGCCCCAAGTCACACAGGCGGAATGAGGACTCAGACCCACACTGTCCCCAGGATCCCTCTGTGTCCACCAAACTTTAGAGATGTCCCTCAGACAGGTTTTGAAGTCAGTTTTGGGTTGAATCCTGGCTCTGCCACTTGCTGACTATGTGAGGACGGTTCCTCTGTGATAAAGTCAGGATCATGATGCTGACCATGGTGGGATGCAGCCATGCTGACCTGATGAATGTGAGGTTCGGGGTGGTGCCTGCCACATCATAGGTGCTTACTACATCCTCACCACCACTGTTCTCATCATTGCTCCCTGGGAGTGCCTGCCCAGGAGACAGGGAACCTTGGCATGGGTCACTCTGGGCCTGGCCCAGCTCCCCTGCCATGTGCCCCAGCATCTGGCCCACTCCTTGTGCCAACCCCGATCCTCCTTTCTCCAGACCTCGGGCACCTGGAGTCCTGAGGCTGCCTCCTAGCAGGGGTGTGGTTCACCAGAGGCCACAAATATTTACCTTGGAGACCTCAACCTGGACCAAGGTCTTGGCCCAGATACAAAGGGCAACTGCCTGGACCAGGGCATCGAGGATATAAGGCTGGACTTGCAGACCCACTGGCCAGGTGAAGAGAGGAGCAGACGGAGGACTCCAGTGTGTCCAGGTAAAAGCATAGGGAAGGGGTTGAAAGCCTACAGCACTAAGAAGGGTCTGAGCTGGAGACACCTGGGGTTGGATCTGGAGCAGGAGGGAGGCTTAGCCCTGAGGTAAGGTCTCTCAGTCCACTAGGACCTCTGAGTGTCCGGGCCAAGGGGTAGAGAAGGGCCAGCTCCTTTGCCCAGAAGACCAAAGAGTGGTGATGAAGGAATCAGACTGAGACTCTCCCTGACCTCAGCCTGATGACATGCACCCATGCTGTATACAGCCCAGTGCTGGGATGATTTGGGGGACAAGAAGAAGTATCATATAGACCTGACCCTCAAGGGACAGCCAGTCTGGGCCATTGTGGTACATGCTGTGCTCAAAGAAAGCCCAGGGACATTGTGGAGGTTAGTCAGGGAAGTCTTCCTGGAAGAGGTGGCAGATCAGCTAAGAAACTGAGTAGAAGTTGGCTAGACAAAGGAAGAGAACAAGGCATTCCACACAAAGGGAAAAGCATAAGCAGAGGCCAGAAGGTGAGATACAATGGGGCAGACGTGTGTGTGTGTGTGTGTGGTACTTGGATTTGGGGAGGAGATGCTTTCTTGAAGGAAGAGATAGATCCTATTGGCTCCTTGAGCATCTCAGATCAGAGGACAGAGTGGTGAGCCAAGACAATGGAGGGCAAACCGGATCAAGTGCTTGAAAGAAAAAGATTATGCAGTGGGGGTGGGAGGCTTCCTGGGCAAAAGAATAGAGTGCAGGATGTCTTCTCTGTGACTTGACTGCAAGGTGATTCCTTCTGACCCCACATTAGTACTAATGACTGTCATAGCAACAGCTAACATTCATTGAACACTTGTGTCAATGCCAGGCCATGAATAGACTGTCTCATTTAATCCTCCCAACAAGCCTGTGATAAGTACTATATTTATAAGTACGATAATTATCTCTTATTTTATAGATGAGAAACTGAGCCTCAGAGAAGGTAAGTCATTTGCCCAAGACCACAAGTGGCAGAGGCAGGCCTCCACCTTAGGTCTATCTGCCTCTGAAGCCCATAGTATTTCTCCTCTGCCCTCAGGCCTCCTGACACTCAGGGATCAGGGTTCTGTGACTTAATGGGGCCCCCATGGCCCAGACATCAGTTTAGCAAGCTGAGATTCCCTATTCTTCAAGGGCTCCCAGAGGCAATTCATTCATCAGCAACCACTCATTTATTAAACACCCACTGTGTGCCAGGCACTATGCTGAATACTGGGACACAGTAGGGAGCAGATAGACCCCACCCTCTCTCCTGGAGCTCACAGCCTGGTCAGGGAGGCAGTTGTCAAGTCAGCATTGCAAGCGTCTCAGCTCATGCTGCTCCAGCTCATGAAAAACACATGTCATCCAATGCCACATTCGTCTTTGACAATAAGAAATCCACACACTGAGCCAAGCAAGGAAGGGCTCAGGTCTCCAGGCCAGCATCTTCCCTCTATCCGAGCAGGACAGTCCCTGGGAGCAGAAGCTTCATGTAGGCTTGAAGGCTGAGCCAGGGTACAAGCTGGGGAGCTCAGGACCAGGTTATAGGGGCTGACACTCCACCCCACGAAGGGACAGACAGGTAAAGGGCCAGAATAGCACATGCTCCTCTCCCAAGAGGCACCACCCAGGCCTCTCTCTCTCTCCCTCTGCCTTTTTCTCCCTGGCTCAAAGCAGCCACCTATTTCCTACTTGGGCCCCTTAGTATTATGGGTTAAGCAAACGGCTTTCCTGCCTCTTCAAGTCCTACCCAAATTCTCATTTCCCTCCTGCCTTCAACCTACTGTCCTGGGCACACACCAGCTCCCTGGGCAACGTTTCTCCAAGTGTAGCCCAGGCTCTCTGGCTGCAGGAAAAAGAAAGCTCTACAGAGAAAGGGACGTGTGAGCAGATTTTAAAGGCTGAACAGGAATTCCATAGGCAGGAAAGGAAGAGGAAAAGCATTACAGGAAGCAGGAAGAGCAAGGGCAAGGGCTCAGACAGAGGGGAACACAGAGTATGTTCTGGGAGCTTCAAGCAGCTTGGAATGACTGGAACTTTTTAGAGCAAGAGGAAAATAAGCAGGAGGTGAAATTGGCTGAGGTTCAGCCATAGAGGATTTCAAGTGCCAGACTCAATGAAATAGGACCCTACTTCCTTATGCCCATTTGCCAGATGAGAGGACTGAGGCCCAGAGAGGTTGAATTGATTGCCTAAGGCCACACAGTTAGCACCGGGCAGCAGAGGCACAGACCCAAACAGGCAGGCTCCAGAGACCACCCTCTTAACCACTTCTTCATTCAACAGCCTCTCCTGGACTCAATTTTCCAAGTCACCAGGCATGACTGGCTGCCCCTGGCCTCTCTGTCCAGCTAACAGGGCCCTCTGTGCTCCCCCCCAGGTTCTGACCCAGCCACCTACCTCCCAGGAAGATGGCTAGCCCGTGGCTTTTCGCCTTCCTCTGTGGTTTGCTGACAGCCCCTTTGGCCGGAGCCACCCTCAACTCCCCTGCAGTTCTCAGCCTCAGCTCAGAAATCGTCAAAGATAGTAAGTCTTGGCTTCCCAGGCCTAACCACCATGAGGCGGAGAGGCAAGCAGAGCAGCCCTCCAGATGAGGGAGGGAGCTCCCCATCACTGTGCAAGCCACAGCTGTGATCCCAGGTCAAGGGTGAGATGCAGGTGGATGATTTATAAAGGTTGGAAGTGTCTGTGATTCCAAGATCCCCTTCTCCTTAAATTCCATGATTCCCCTGGGCTCCTCTGTTCCCCATGTCCCTCCAAAGCTTCTGCTGACAGGTTTTAACATTATGCCAGCCGGCAAAGGAGGAACATTTAGAGGGACCATCTCCATTACCACAGAGGAGAAAAAGGGGTGTCTCTGTTGCTAAGAGGCAGTAGCATACAGACTGTGGGACACAGTGGAGGGACATACACCTGAGTGGTCCTGCCCAAGGGTGGAGGGAGCTGGGGTGTTTGCACACCATTTCCCATCAGTCATTGACTGAGGGCTGCTTCTGGAGCATCAGCTCCCCAGTACTTCTGACCTGCTCTGTGCACAAGCCAAATGGGCTCTGGCTGCCAGGAGAAAAGTCCAACAGGCCCAGTGTTGGGTGTTGTGGCAATGTCCCCAGCAGAGGATGGAAATGTCAGATATGAATGGTCCCACCTATGCTCCAGTCCCAGTCTTCATGTGAAAATAACCTTCTGGGCCAGCATCCTCAAAGCCACTTCTCCACAGCAGATGGTCAGGATGGAGCCATATAGCCCCTTGCCTTATATCTGGGTCTGAGTAGCCCTAAGGATGGTCCCTCCCAGCCTAGAGCCCCCATCGAGCCATACTTCTTGCCCTCTTTCTGGCCCCTAATCCCTGGGTTCTGCCCCCAGAACTGACACAGGAACTGAAGAACAGCGATGCCACCCAAATCCTCCAGCAGCTGCCACTGCTCAGTGAGATAAAAAAGGAGCCAGCCAGCAATATCCCCATCATAGGCAACTTAGTGGACTACCTCCTGAACCACATCGTCTGGTAAGTGGAGCAGGACCAAGTCTGGAACCAGCTCCTTCCCACCCCTCTGCCCAGGACACGCTTTGCATGCTCAATCGATCGATCGCCAAGCATCAGCTGGTGTCAGCTCTGCCCAATCACAAAGAGTGGGTCACAGTCGCTCCCTACAAAGCTCCCAGAGGAGTTAAAAATGGCCATGAGAGCCACACAGGAACCCCAACAGGGTGGCCACAGGGAAAGTCTGCCTGGGGCAGGAGGGTGAAGGATAAGGCAGCCCCTCTCAGCGGAGGCAACAGGTGAGCCAATGACTCCATGCTCACCAGGAGACAAGAAGAAAATGACGTCCCAGGCAAAGGGACCAGCCAGGGCAAAGTCCTAGAGGAGTGAAAGTAGTCAGAACTGGTGCTCAAACCCCGAGGTGAGGACACAGGAGAAGTCAGCAGGGCCAGTAACAGAGGGTCTTACAAGTTACCCCAAAGAGCTGGGATTCATCTCCTTAGTGGAGAGAGCCACAGGAGCATTGTGAGCAGTGGTAGAGGGGATTAGATTGGATGGGAGCAAGCAGGCTGGGCAGGGGTCAGTGGACAGGGCTTGAGTCCAGCTGCTGGCTGGGCACCAGGGAGACAAGAAAGATGGAAGGTTGGGGATGATATTCAATTGAGCATAACGCATGAATCCCATCTTGCCCACATCCCATCCAGGCTGAAAGTCACCTCAGCCAACATCCTCCAGCTGCAGGTGCAACCCTCTGCTAATGGCCAGGAGCTGGTGGTCAAGGTCCCCCTGAGCATGGTGGCTGGATTCAACACGTGAGTGTCCCCTCAGCCAGGCACAGCAGGCCTGGCAGTGTCATTCACGCATTCCCCCCTTTTGTCCATGTCGGTATCTGGGAAACAGCCACAAGCAGAGGGAAAAGCAATCGGCAAGGTCCAGAGGGCGGAGTGCACTGGCTCTTTCCAAAGAACAGCACAGAGAATGGGCAGAGAGGGAGAGAATGATGCGAGGAGAGGCCAGCAGGCAGCCGGAACCAGCTCAGGCGGGGACTTGGGGGCCAACGTGACAACTTGGCTTTTACTGAGTGAAATGCGACCCATGAGAGTTCTGAGCAGAGGAGGCACATGCATTAAATTTTACATTTCTAAAGAATCCATCTGGCTGCTGCATAAGGGGATAAGAGTGGAGGCAGGGAGGGCATCCAGAAGTTACTGCTACTATCAGGAGACAGTGAGGGCCCGCACCAGGGCTTGGGGACAGGAAGGTGGGGAGAAGTAGTCTGATTCTGGATGTTTCAGAGGTAGGTAAAGGCAACAGGGTTTCCTGATGGATTCAATGTTGGAAAGAAAGGCAGAGAGAGAAAAGAAGTCAAGGCTGACTCCAGGGCTCTTTGCCTGGGCAAATGATAGGACAGGATGGCCAGCAGCTAAGACCGGGAAGATCATGAGCAGCTTTGGGGAAGGATCCGGAGTTTGGTTTTTAACATGTTAAATTTGAGGTGCCTGTAAGGCATCTGAGTAAGGAGTTGGGTGTAAGTTTGGAAGCTGCTGGCATATGCAGAGGATTTAAACCAAGAGAGGAATCCCCAAGATGAGCCTGGAACACATTAGGGTAAAAATCTGGGGAGAGGAGGAAAACCCAGCAAAGGAACTTGAGCAGGGAGGTGGAAAAGCCAGAAGACAGAGATGCACAGCAGGTCTGCTCCAGCCTGGGGCTGGGACGGTGCTCAGAATGTCAGGCACCTCCTCTCCCAGGCCCATCGTCAAGACCATCGTGGAGATGCACATGAAGACAGAGATCCAAGCCAACATCCAAGTGCAGACCAGCGAGAGCGGCCAACCCCACCTCGTGCTCAGCGACTGCTCCAATAGCCAGGACAGCCTGACCATCACCCTGCTGGACAAGTGAGTGAAGCCACCTCCCCCTGGGCTCCCACCATGCCTGGGAGAGAAGCCAGGCAATGTGATCTTGCCCCATTTTACAGATGGAGAGCACTGAGGCCCAGGGAAAAAAAGGGACTTATGATAACCTTCTGACTCTTGATCTGGGACTCCTTCCAGGGAATCTGTGATGCCAGATAAAGTTAAAAACATCAAGGAAAGAAACAATGATTGTGGAATTTTAGGCATCATGCCAGGAAGTGGGGCAAACATTTGAAGGTGAAGAGGAGCTACATTCCGAGGGCTCCTCAAACTACCCCAGGCAGGCTTGGGTGCAGCCATGGGTAAAACATATCTCCGAGTGAGGCAAATGCATCTCCTTCACTTACTGTCCAGGTGACTCTGAGCAAGTCACCTCCCTATGCCTCACCTTCCAGGCTGTAGTGAGAGGATCAGTTCAGGCAATAACCACAAGCACTTAGCAGAATGCATGGCACACAGTAGGTGCTCAAAGGTGTGGTGTTTCCCTCCACTACTCTTCAGCAAGAGAATGGGAAGAAATGCCAACTGCCATCATCCCAGCTTCCAGCACAAATTCCTAAAGACAACCCCCAGCCCCTGCCCACTGAGAGCTCTTTGCCACTGTCTGCCCTTGGCTCGGGATCTACTACCAGCCCTATCTCTAACAGGCTGTGTGACCTTGGGCAAGTTCACTCAACCCCTGAACTCAGTCTTCCCTTCTGTAACACAGGGAAGGGATGAGCACCTCTTACCTTCCCTAATCTGTCTCTCCTTCTCCTCTCCAGGACGCTCTCCTTCCTGGTCAACTCCTTAGCCAAAGAGGTCATGAGCCTCCTGATGCCAGCGCTGCCCAAACTGGTGAAAAGCCAGGTGAGTGGAATCAGGGCCTCTCTGGCCTGCAAAGACTGCTCCCCCTGTGGGGCTGGGGTGGAACTGTAAGCTGGTGCTAAGGGAACTCCTACCTCCTTGAGTGGGAAACTTCTGGGCCTGGACCAATCATTCTTTCAATGAATCATTGAGGACAAGGTTATAGAACTGCCAACAGTTGACCAGGAGACTTTGAATAGTGATGTGCTGATAAATTGTTAATAATTGACTCTGAAGGGATTGAGGAGAAAGAGCCCTGATTTGTAACATCTGGTGATCTCTCTGGTGTGACTTGTTCTCTCAAGGCCAATTTCAAGCCATTAATGTGATGTCAATGAGCAGAGGTGGGGAGAGATGAGTACTAGTACACCATTGTATGATATTTCCGCCGTACAGATACACTAGACATAAAAAGTGTCAAGAGAGGATAATAGTAAAATGTAACAAAATAATTGGGAAATTATGACTTTGGTATTTTCTCTTAACTTTAGGGGTTTTTTTAACTTTGTTTTTAGTATAATTTATTTAGTTGTAAGTTTATATAATTCAATTTTTAATAATGTCTGGGTTTAGTATGCAGCTCAGAAATTCCTGAAAATTTTAAAAATTGGCCCTTACAAACTGGTACAAGCTGGCTCTCAAATACCAGTGTCACACCAACATGTGGTCTTCAGTGGTCTGTCACCCACCAGGTCCTGTTGGATTACTTTGTGTGAGTCGGTAAACATGAGTCAATCTCAATTTATATATCCTTTGTATGTCACAGGTAAACTAAAACTCTCTATATCAGACTCATCCATTCTGACCATTGATTTCCACTGTAAATTCCAAAATATAGTCACAACAGTAGGGCCCCCTAGAGTTCAAAACACCTTTTCAGATAACCAATATTTTTTTAATAATAAAACCTTTTTGAATTGAAAAGATGATTTAATAACTAAAACAACTTTGGGGAAAAAATACCCATGATCCTCTGCCTTAACATGACAGCTATTTTCTCTTTTGTGCATTACCTTCCAATCTCCATACACACACACTCATATTTTTATGTGGCTATACTCGGTGTCACTGCTCTCTGATATTTTGTTATATCTATTTTCTATGCCATTGTACAATATTCATAATTATTAAAGCAGCTACATCATATTTAATACTTCATTAAATCATTCCAGGGAGCCTTCTTAAAGGAATCTGGAAGTGAATAATTTTGTAAAATTTGGCTTTTCTTATGAGAGATATATTTTCTTTTAAGAAATGTTTTTTCTGTTTAAAGGTTGCACTTTCTAAAATTTTTCTCCAGCCTCCAGTAAAATCACATTTTAACTGGCATCATAGTTTAACTGCTAAAAATGTATTTTCTATAAGAAAGACGGCAAGAAATTAGTATCATAAAATGCCGTTTGCATAATATCTGTTCTTAAAGTGAAAAGCCAAGTAGAGTGAAGAATATGAGATGAACTGGCCTTTTCTTAATCATCATGATTTCCTACCATGATTCACTGACATAATGGTCATGTGACTATCATACTTGAAGGAAAAATCTACAACACATTTAAATCTGGCAGGAGACCATCTAGAAAATACTGAAGCCCTTTTTGTTGTAAATATGTGGGTCCCAACCCCAGCTGTATCAGAACCTTCTGGGAAAGCTTTTAAAAATACTGATAGAGATTCCAGTGTGATTGGTCTGGGTGAGGCCCTAGCATCTCAGAGGATTCTAATGTATTATCAAGGATTCCCACTGGTGTAAAGGAGAAAGGGGAATGGCGGGAGAAGATGACAAGGTCACCAGGACACCCTTCCCACAAGGGATAGGCCATGCAGTGGATGCTGGGAGTCTCTGAGCTTGCCAAGTCCTCTGTCCTCCCTGGGTCCCGGGTTGGCAAAGTAGCTGAGAGCAGGGGATGGGTTTTTCATAGGAAAAGTTAACGTTTCTCAGAACACATTGTACTTTCTTGGGAGCAGCAAAGGATGCTCAGTCCTAGGGCTCTTCCACTGGGGAAATTGTACCCATGACAAAACAACAAAATCTCTGGGTACTGCCCCAGAAAATAGGTTGCCTAGAGCAGATAACACAGCCTTTGGGTCTCACAGGCAAGTGAGTCAAATGTTGCACTTCCTCCTTAAGCTGACCAGGTGAGGCCAGAGTTAGGTTAGGCCAGGGTTTCTCACCCTCAGAACTACTAACATTTGGGCCATACAGTTCTCTGTTGTGCGAGCAGTCCTGCCCACTGTGGGGTGTCTAGTAGCATCTCTGGCTTCTATCCACTAGATGCCAGTAACACCCTGTACCCCAAGTTATGACAACTAAAAATGTCTCCAGCAATTTCCAAATGTCTCCTAGGGGACAAAATCTCTCCCTACTGAGAACTGCTGGCCCTTGGGAGAAAGAAGAGCTGAGTAAGCAAAAGGATGTGTTGGAGTCGGACACCCACAAAGGGCACAAAGACATCGTTCATGAGTCTGGTTAGATCAGGCTTGCTGGCCTCTGTTCTAGAGTCTGACATGTAGAAGGAACTCAGTAATGACTCATCAAGTGAATGAAGGAATGAATTCTCCATTTCCCTCTTATGGAAAACATGGGCTCTCTTGAACAAGACAAGGAGTCTGATGGGGAGGGCAGCTGGCAGGCCAGGCGCACCCTGGGCATAGGACACGGGATAAACCACTGCAAAGACCCCAGGTGACATCGGGGGTGGGGTGTGCTCTGAGCCACAGGGATGGCTCGGGGAGTGGGCACTCCACTGAGTCCTCAACCCCGAGGATGAAAACCTGGCTGGCCATGGTCGCACGGGTTCAGGCTGGGTGGGCTGGGCACAGGCAGTTGTGGGGCCGTGTTCTGGCCCCTTGCTGATGGAGCTCCTGTATTGGTGCCGTTGCAGCTGTGTCCCGTGATCCAGAAAGCCTTTGAGGACTCACGTGAAGACCTCCTGGACCTAGTGAAGGGTAGGTGCACTGCTCTCTTCCACCTTCTTCCTTTACTGCTGAGCAGGCCTCCAGGCCATGGCTCTGCCCAGGGAAGGCCTCCCAAGTCAGGCCTGAGCTGCAACATAGTCCAGCAGCAAGCGGGACTGAGCATAAGTTGATCCCTATTGAGGAAAAGCAGACAGGAATTCACCACAACTGTGACTTTACCAGTACCTACTATGTGCAAATTTCCATGAGAGCCAATGTGTGCCCCAGATTTCCAAGTTCAAATCCCAGCTCTGCCATTGACTTGCTCTATGACCTTAGGAAAGCCACTCCACCTTCTTATCCCCAGTTTACACATCTGTAAAATGGGGCTTATACATCCCTACCTCACATGATTATTGGTGAGGATTAAAAGTCTACAGGAAACTTTCAGGCACATAGCAGGTGCTCTGCCTGGCACAGAGAAGTGCTAACAAATGTGTGCTGAATGGATGAAAGAATGAATAATAGAGTAACTACTGTGGGCTGTTAGAGAAGAACAAGGGAAGAGATTGGATGTGCGCTCAAGAAAGAGGTCATTTCTCCCTCCCAAAGTAACAGAGATAGGAGGACACAGGCTTCTGCCCCAATCTTGGAATTCTGCTGTACTTGTTGCCCTCAGAGTGGGGTTTGGCAGTAAGAAAAAAATTCTGTCTACTGTTTTGGGATCTGCAGAGGCTCATTCAAAGGATTAACAAAGAGGAGTGGAAAGAGGAGAATGGAATCGGTTGAACACCCATAGAGCACCTACTGGGCTGGTTGTTTCATGTACACTGTCTCCCTGACTCCTCAGATAACTCATTGAAGAAGACATCATGACCCCATTTCACAGATGAGGAAACTGAAGTCTCAGAGAAATTAAGTCACTTGTCCAGTTCACAGAGGAAACTAGTGATAGGGGAAGACTTGAGCCCAATTCTTCAATTCCCAAGTCTGATGTAATTCAAATATAAGGCAACTTTAATAGGTACCAATCCTACACAACCTATAAGGCAGGTATTACTAATACACCCCCATTTTAAGATGAGGAAACTGAGGTTCAGAAATGGGAATACACTAGCCAAGGCTACTGAGACTTGAAAGGAAGTCGATCTGGCTCTTCTCTTCCTCAGGGGAAGGCCACCCAAGGACCATCTCCCAGCCTGTCCCTAAGCCCCTGCATCCCCTCTCCATTCTCCCCCATCAGCCAGGGCAGATGAGTCGGCACTGCCACCTAGTGGCTAAGTGAGGAATCCTGAGGCAAACAAGCGATCCAGTGGACAGACAGGCATGCATCAGGCATCTGGGCCCAGACCCTGCCCAGGTGCAGGGTGCAGCTCACAGTTTGGTTGGAAGATGTGGACTGTTACAAACAATAGTACAGTTTTTTTCCAATCAGGACTTTGGCATAGGACCAACTAGGTTCAAATCTTTTCACAGTATGACCTTAGCAAATCATTTTACTTTTCTGAGCCTTACTTTCCCCATCTATAGAATGGGGGTACTAATAGGACCTACCTCCTAAGGCTATTGTGAGGATTAAATGAGCTAACACCTGTGCACGTTTAGGACAGTACGTGGCACTTGGCACGTGCTCCATAAATGTCAGTCATTATCAATGCCATCATTACTCCTGCTCCCCTCTATCTACCCACCTATGGGATAATGCAACTATAGCCAAAAGCAGCCCACAAGCCTGCCCTCCACCCTCATAGAACTTTCTTCTTGTACCTGAGCAGTGCCAGTTACCCTCGTCCCTGACCACCTGGAGTTTGACATTCTGTCTCCTGCCATCAAGGATAATTTCATCCAGCTCAACCTGGGGGTGAGTGTCATGGGACCTCAGGGATAATGAGGGACATCACTGCCCTTCTCTGACCCCCAAGGGTCAGACACCATAGGTCTATCTCAGGGAAGAACATACCAGTCATGGGTAGGACACACATGTTCAACAGGCCAGACATGTCCCAGGTAAATCATTCTAACAGAGGAAATCCAGCAGGTGGAATCTAAGGGGCACACACAAAACATCAACCTCAGTGATATGTTCCCCCACCCTGATTTCCCCCATCAGAGGCCAACGTGTATGCACTGGGGCTCTTAGCCTTTCTCTCTGCACTGGGAATTACAAAGACCTAAGTTTCTCTCCCAGCTCCACAAGTCCCTGAATGTGTGACTTCGGACAAGTTTCATCACCTCTCTTAGTGTCACTTTCTTCCTCTGTAAAATGTAGATAATAATAGTCACCAAGGAGAGGATGAAACGAGACTGCACAGGTCCTGGTGGCAGGAGGAGCCTGGTAACTCTCAGCTGTGTAAAATGTGGAGCCACATGCTCACACTAGTGCTGGACTTCCTGAGGAGCCAGGCTAATTTGGGCAGCATGAATCCCAGACCAGTTTTCACAGATCCCTTGGATAACTGCAGCATCAAACATTTCCATCTGGCTGCAGTTTTGAATTTTCCCTCCATCCAAAGGGTTTGTAAGGTACCTGAGAAGTTGAAATCTAAATGCCAAATAAGACAGCTAGGTTTTTAGAGAAAATCAGAGCTTATCTAAGGAGTACGAGTGCAATAGATGTTGCTAAGCACCCGAGATAATTCATCACCTACAGCAAGGTGCTGAACTCCAGGCTAAGCTTCCTGGCAGTGAATGCAAAAAGCAAACCAGGCTAAACAGTGTCATTTCCTTCTAGGCTGTGATTGGGTAAGTTGTGGAGTTAAAGTTCCCAGCCAACTCTCTGCTCTGTATCTCCTTAGGTCAAGTTCCTGGACTCACAAGGAAAGGTGACCCAGTGGTTCAATGAATCAGCAGCTTCCCTGACGATGCCCACCGTGGTCAGTGCCCCTTTCAGCCTCGCCTTCAGGCAGGATGTGGTGAACGCGGCAGTAGGTGTCTTGCTCCCTCCAGGAGAACTCATGGTCCTGTTGAACTACGTGGTAAGCCTCAGCATGGGACAGGATGGAGCCCCCTCTGCTGCATCACGGGAATCCCCTAAATCACATGGTGCAAGAACCCTAACGCTCCCTGAGCAATAATCCCCTACCAAGCCACCCAAACCCCTCCAGGAATGGACAGCTCACCCCCTCCTCTAACAGTTCCCAAATAGGCCTCTAACGGTCCTCCTCTAATAGTCGGACATGTAACCTGAAAGCTGAAAATTGCCCCGGAACATCCAACGCCAGGCCTAGTTCTGCTCCCCTGGAATCTGATACACCTGCTTCCTCTACCAAGCAACAGTCCTATGGAGCCAAAGGGCACCTTAGATACTGAGACGTCCAGGATGGCAGTTGTGCTGTGCTGTTTACTAGGGGCCCCTGGCAGACATCACTAATACATCAGGGCCTCTCTTCCTACTGAGCCTTGGTGCCAACCCAGCCCTGGGATCCCCATCAGCCCCGCACAGCTAGCAATTGCCACCAGTCAACTGGAGTATGCCACCTCCTCCAGGATGACTGATGATGAAACTGAGGCCCGGGGGGAAAGGGTTAGCCCAAATTGCTTCAGGTCAGCTGACAGGCCACAGATAACCAACCTCTTGGGGATTAGAAATCAAGGTAAGGGGCTGGGATGCTGAGAAATAGGGAGTAGTCACCAGCAGCCACATTTATGACTGGAATAAGAATGAGGTCACTTCTCAGTGTCCCTGGGAGCAGGGAGCTGCCCACAAACCCACAAATGCCACCAAACCCACAGTAAAAGTCCAGGCCCGTGGGGACCTCATGTCCTAGAACAGCTGATACAGGGGCTGTTTTCCACCAATGACAGACATGAGGCCTGGACCACCAAACCTACCCAGCTTTTCTGGGATTCTGAGGGTCCTGGCAGTGGAGCTGCTGGAGATGTGTTTCCCCTTTCCCCTCCTGCTGACCTTCTCTGGCTTCCTCTCCTCCTCAGTTTCCTGAGCTGGCCCAGCAGCTGAAGACGAGCATGAAGGCGATCAATGAAACGGTTTGTCTGTTTGCCATCTGCAGTCTGATGTGGTCTGTCCACTGGTTCTAGGGAGTAAAATACATGTGGGATTGCTCTTTCCTCCCGACACTGGTGACTAATGGACCAAGTCCCTACCCTCACAGGGATTCCAGTCTACCAGGGCAATGGGACTGAATCAAATAGTTACACAGGTAATAGTTCAGTTACAAGTGTGGTGACAAAGGACAGATTCCAGGGGTTATGGGGGATTACCTGACATAGCCCAGAGGTTAGGGAGGGCTTCCCTGAAGGAAAGGCATGTCAGACTGAGGGAGAAGCAAAACCAAAGGCTTTGAGACGGGGAGAGCAGCAATCCCTTCCAGGGTCTGGGAGGAGAGAGGCTGGAGCAGACAGGAATGAGGGAAGCCAGAAGCAGGGGCTGGGGCCACATGGGGCTCCCAGGCCTTGGTGAGGCCTTTGGGAGCCCACACGCAGGTCGGATGTCCTTCCAGGCTGCAGAGAAGCTGGGGCCCACACAGATCGTGAAGATCCTAATTCAGGAGACTCCAGACATCTTTCTGGCTCAGGGCAGTGCCACAGCGGTCCAATTGATTGTGCTGGAACTATTTGCCACCAATGAAGTCAACCACCCCTTCTTCACCCTGGGAATCGTGAGTTCAATTGTCTGTGACATTGGCAACAACCTGGGGGATCCTGCTGTTCGTTGTTCCTGTTCAACCTTATTGCTTTGCTAAATGTCTCCACCACTCTTGTTACCCAGCAGAGATGGGGGAGGGGGAGTTGTGAACTAAGAATCAGGAGATTTGGAGACCCATCTCTGACCCTGTGACCTTATTAGACAGGATCCTTGGGCAGAAACTTATCTCATATGCACAAAAGGAATTATTTTAGTTCATATAACTTAAAATTCCAGGTGTTGTTACCTTCAGGAATAGCTGGATCCAGGTGCTCAAACAATGTCATCTTCATTCTTCTCTTCCTATCTGGCAGCCTTGTTCTCCCAAGTGCAGCCTTCATCCTTGGGCAGATTATCCTCCCATGGAATTACCCCACCCTGTATCAGGCTTATACCCACCAGCTTGATAACTCCAGCAGGAAAAGCCTATCTTTCCCAGTAGCTCCAGTGGAAGTTCCAAAGCTAACTCTTGTTGGATGAGTTTGGGTCATGTGCCCATTCCTGAGTCTGGGCAGTACCTGGCTATTAGTAGGAGGTTAATGTTGACTATCCCACAGCAGGGTGGCTGTGCACAGCTGTGCAGTTTGTCCACACACAATTTCAGGGGGTGCCATTCCCAAAATACAAGATGCACAGTGCCTTGGCTTCCCATATTGAAAGATATTTTGATCCCCCAGCCAGTAGTGGGCATGGACTTCCAGGCCAGCTCTACTCCCTAGCGACCTGGTCCCTCCATGGCCAATGGCAGGCACTTTCCCAAAGGCCTACAGGCCCATAGGACAAGTTTGTTCTCTGACCTGGAAGTGGAGCCTCACTAACTCTCTGCCCTCAGGCTCATCCAGCCCACAGGTGTGTCTTTGACCTGGCTTAGCTTCTCACCTTTCGGACGATAATGGTAATGGTTAGCATTTACCAGAGTCTTACTGATCTTTGTCCCTCAGATCCCTCTCCTCTATAATGGGCTAATAATAGGATTCACTTCATAAGGTTGTGAGGCCCAAAGGAGATCATCACGTAAAGTTCTTAAAACACTGCCTGACACATAGTGGGGGCTCCATGCATACTGGTTGCTGCCATCATCACTATCACCACCACTTCCCACAGCAAGCCTATGTTGTTATCTGTTCAGTGGGGAATGGGTACAGGTACTATCCTATTTAATAGATGAGGAAAGTGAGGCCCAGAGAGGTCAAACCTTTTCCCAAGGTCACAGAGCCAGTCGCTGAGCTTCAGACCATGTCAGCTTGCCCTTAGAGCCTCCTTGTATAACCCCACACCCTATGCCTGACACATCCCCTCAAAGAAATGGGGCCTGGGTTTCTCTTGTTGCAGGAAGCCAGCTCAGAAGCTCAATTTTACACCGAAGGTGACCAACTGATGCTCAACTTAAATGAAATCAGGTAAACATGTAAATCATTGTGAAGATTATGATAGAAACAAGTGTTGCCTCATGGCAGTACTTTAAATACCCAGTGTTCTGAGCCTCTGAGGGGTGGTGAGTAGTGCAGGCTGCTCCAGGGAGGGCAGGAAGACTGCCTCACCTGCACTGTTTTGCTGTTGAGGACTGAAAGCAAGAGAAAGGGGAGGAAAGGGAGGTGGCCTTGCAGCAGCCGTGGACAGGCCGACCCTGGCCACAGGATCAGCCTGACCAGCCCCATCTCCCTCCCTGGCCCATCCAGGACATCGCCGGGACAGTAAAGGGACTGTCATGCCCAGATGCTGATGTCCCACCGAGCCTAGCCTGCAAGCTCAGGGCCTCAGCTGCCTTCTGTGCCCCTGCCCACCTTCTCCCTGCTGTTCCTAAAGGAAGTTCAGGGATTGCAGACTGAAACCTCCTGGGACAAATCAAGCCTGTGGACTGTTTTGATCACCCCACATAGGGTTAGGGTTTTTTAATATAAATTAGTTGCCAACATATAAAAATCAGCATACTGGGCCACACGGGCCTGCATTCCTACATGGCAGTGAACAGTTGAGCTGGGAATCAGGTTCCCCCTGTAGAAAGAGCCTGAGCTCCCTGGCGTACTACAAGTCTTCATTCCTGGAGGTGATTTTTCTGCTTTTAGGGTGACTATTTGTTTTCTGTCTCCCTCCTCATAAGAATGTAAGCTCCATAAGGCCAGGATTTTATTTGATTCTCTGCTATATCTACAGAGCCTGCACTGTGCTTGGTACATAGTTGGTGCTCAATAAATAGTTGTTGAGTGAACAAGTGAATAGGACTCTGAGGGGCCATTCTCACAGGCATCTCTTGTTGCAGCTCTGATAGGATCCACCTGATGAACTCAAGCTTTGGCCTTTTCAACGTGAGTATCAACAAATTGTCCCTGGGGACACAGGGGACAGCCCAGGATGATCCACTTTGAAATGAGACATTGTCCAGGATTTACACCAAACAAGGTCCACACAGACAGTCCCATGGTGGGCTGGCCAGCCTCTATGTGATCAGTCACAAAATCCAACCTCCTGGCTCAGGCACTTACTGAGCACTGACCGTATGCCGGGCACAACTGAGAACACACACATACTCACAGACACACAGATACACAGTCACTTTCCTTCTGCAACCCTTTGATCCTAAATTTGAAAACAACTCTCCACTACCGACAAACTCCTTTGGCTCACGAAGACTCATCTTGACGCTCCGGGCAGCCCTTTGCCTCTGGTCCTCCGTTCTCCCACCCGAGTCAGACCCCATCAGAGATCTCAAACTGGCTGAATCCTATATTCTGCGGTGGCTTTTTTTTTTCACCCTTATATTTTGTTGTTTAACTTTTTTGACTAACTTTTAAATGGGAGGTTTCCAAACAAAAACGTCTGACTTCCTTAGCAAGCCCAGGAAACACAGGGCAGAATTCCCTCTGGGCAAATGGGCTAGCCGAGTTTGTGCTCTTCCCTGCCTATCCGGTCCCCTGCAGCCCTCGCAGTTCTCACTAGCAGGGGGCCGGATTCCGGAACGTCCTCCAGCTGCCCTGGCCGTGGGGCTGGGCTGTGCCCATCCTAGGAATGGCTGGGAGGACTTCAGGGTGACAGTGCGTCTTCTCTCTCACAGCCTGATCTTCTGAAAGATATCGTCACCCAGATCCTCGCCTCTGTCCTCCTGCCTAACGAAAATGGTGCGTCCCTTTGCTGTCCACACTCCCTTCCCAGGGCTTTGAGGGTGGGTGCTTCATTTCTCCTTATAAGAGGCTAAAGGTGGTGCTTGGCCCACTCAGTGCTCAACATTTCTTAGCCATTGCCGATGTTGGGATTGCTATTTGCATTATTAGTGGGGGAAGCCGAGAGAAAAGGCAGAATTACTCTAATTAAGCCCTAGGTTGTAGGGGTGGAGAGAATTGGTAAACTATGTATGCCAACTGCCTTTTCCATTTCTTCATTTTATTAGAGTGGAAAATTTCCAAGTATAGACACCTGTTTTGTGGGTGGTAGGAGGCCTCAAGGTTTCTTGAGCAGGTGTGTGCAAGGATGTGAGGGGTGCCCTTTGGAGCAGCCAGAAGCCAGTGCTGGAAGCAACCACCAGGGAAATGAGTCTGGGTGGGTGCTGGGGCCAGAGAACAGGTGAGCAGAGGCAGGAGGAACAGTCCACATCTGGTGTGCAAGGTGCCCAGGGCCCCTCCATGAACTGTGAGCCTGCCCATGGCTACCCAATTCCAGGCCCACCAGTCTCTGACCACATTTATTATTTCAGGTAAACTAAGATCCGGAGTACAGATGTCAACAGTGAAGGCCTTCGGATTCGAGTCACCTTCGATATCTCTCACAAAGGTGAGTGGGGATAAACGTCCTGCACCAGGGAGGGCACAGCTGCCAGGAGAGCCCTGGGCTGGGAGGTGGTGCCTGCACTCCAGTCCTGGCCCTGCTGGTCACCATGGGAGACCTTGGGAAAGTCCCCTCTTCTCTCAGGGCCTCATCTCCTCATCTGTAAGTGTTCAAGTGTGACTGTCCTAGCCTGGGGTCAATATACGTCCAAGTTTTTTCACCGTCATTCATTCATTCATTCATTCATTCATTAAGGCCTAGCACACAGTAGATGCTCAATAAATGCTTGTGGAGTAAATGACTCTCCTTGGCAGCTGCTGGGGAAGGGAGCTATAGTAGCATGACCACCACCCCCAAATATTGTTATTAGTTATATTTAACAGCCCATAATCATTTTGTGCCAGGCATTGGGGTACAGGGAGCATCTTGCCCAGTCTTCATATCCACCCATACCATAGATCCCATCTAACAGATGAGGAAACTGAGATCAAGGATAGCAAATCCATTTCCAAGATCACATACCCAGTAGGTGGCAGAGTCAGGATTTGCACTCGGTATCTGCCCTGAACCCCTGCTTTGGGCCCTAACCCCTGCATGAGCAATGGCAGTGACATAGGCCCATCTCAGTCAGCCAGCCAGCAGGCATTGACTAATAAGCACCTACTGTATGCCAGGCACTGATCACAATAATAAACAAGACAGGCAGACACCCCTACCCTCTTGGAGTTTCCAGTCCACTGTAGAGGGAGAGAGATAGAGAAGCAGAATTATTAATGATTGAGAAAATTCACAAGTGACCACCCAGCCCAACATTCCATGGCTAAAGTGTCCAAACTAAGGCCAGGGAGGGATTCTGGACCAAATCTTTAGCTCGTTATTTGTCCTGATTTGTCCAAAGCTGTGGGTTGGTACTACCGAATTCCTGAGCTGTTCTTGAGAAATTAACAAATTGTCCCTAAGGCACAGGGGACAGCCCAGGATGATCCACTCTGAAAAGGGGCATTGCCCAGGATTTACTCCAAACAAGGTCCCCACAGACAGCCCCATGGTGGGCTCAATTCATTTGTTTTGGGCTGGCAGCACACTGATTTTCTCTTTATATCCATAGATCATGTTTTAAAAGTTAGTTGAAGGAATGAATAAATGAATAATATGAGATAAAGCATGCTTTAGAGAAAGTTAATATAATCTAGATGCTGAGTATTCAAGTGTTCACTGTAAAATTGTTTAAAAATTATCATAATAAAATGTTAGCAGAAATCTAATAGGTTAAGTTCTTCATATCACACTTAGCTTCAAAAAATTAGGCAGAGCATTGTTAAATATTTAGCTGGCTGGGACCCAATGGATACATCCAGGAACCTGCATTTTATAGAACTTCTTGGGGAGTTTTGGTGATTAGCAGGGCTTGGGGACAATAGACTCACATACTACTCAGATATTTAAACCTGTGCCTCAGACCTCTGTGCAGCGCCTTTGTTCACACATACATCCTACTCCTCTGACCCTTCCAGGAATTCTATATGAGTGCATTCAGGGTCATGACCCCCAATTCTACCAGTCACCTTGTGGCAGACAAACCAGCATAAATCACAAGGTAGGAGGTGAAAAGAAAACCCACTTAACTTTTCTCCTTTGATTACAGGACGCCCTTGTGATCACTGCAACCGCCTAGTAGAAACGTGACCACTGTCCTCTCTCCTGATGAAGATGGACAGTCTCCCTTCACAGCAGGCTGGGTCCCAGTGGGGATGTGGGAGCCAGCTCTGTTGACTATCCCTCTCTTCAATAAATAAATACTAGTCTGTGACTACTGCAATCTGGAGTATATCTTTGTCTCAATTCAGGAATCATTTTGTCCCTGGAAGGCTTGGGGACTAGACACCTGAGACACATCTGGCACATTCAGGCACATCTGAGCCAATCCGAGCTGTGTCCAAGCTGTGTCTGGCCCACTAATACCACATGAGGACTATGTCCAGGATTTTTATTACTTCCTGGGGCTTTAGAAATAAGAAAGCCAATTGTGCCCTCCTGCCTTCTGTGTCAACCTCAAGACTCCCTATGGTGGGACAACATCTTTAGTGAGGGTTGATGCTGGCATGTGGACGGTCAAGGGCTCTTTGGACACTGTGAATCTGAAGGCAGATGAACTAGGCTTTGAGTTCTGGCCTGGCCCCTCAGTAGCTGTTTGCCCTTGTGATACAGCTTCCCCTGAGTTTTCTTCTCTGTAAAATGAAGAGAATCATAGTCCCCATGGTGGAGGGCTGTGGTGAGGATGAAATTGGAGAGAAGGGTTCCTAGCACATGGCAGGTGCTCAAATAATGTCATCTGTGGCTGCTGCCATTGTCACTGCTGTTACCTCGCCTCCAGGATGTTGGGCTTATCACCGAGGCCCTTCCTGCTTGGACACCACATGACTGTCATTGTCTCCCTGGCCTCCCTGATGCCAGCAGGTTCAGGACAGACAATAGGACCCCTGTTCTCCAGACTGCAGGTCCGCCCCAGCCCTTCACTTACACAAGAGGCCGTGCATGAAGGGATGGGTGGGCATTTTGGGAAAAGGCACCAACAGGCACAAGAACGGCTCACAGCCTGGGAAGGTGGCCAGGAATGTACTTCTCCATCTACAGGACATGGGATAGGCTGAGAGGGATACCAGGGGCCAGGACAAGACCCTGCATGAGACGTTTACCCTAGGGTCAGCGAACACTTATTGGGCAGTTGCTGAGTGCCAGGCCCTGTGCTGCAGCTCCCCGACACTTACCTGACTCCCAGACACACTTTGCAATCTGCATCCCCACATACCACAATCCATTATTTTTCTAAATTGTATTAAATCTAGGTTTGAACCCCTACTCACAAAGGAGATAAGAAAATCAATCTCCATCTTCTCTGGGGTAGGTCTCTTCTGGCTCCCTGGGGTTATTCAAGGGTCAGGGCAGGACTAGGGAGTGAGGGGGCTTCCAAGGAGCATGGAAGACGGGGCAGGGCTTCCTGTCCTTGATCCCATCTGATCCCGATGATGGGAACTCTGTACCAGCCCATATGGTCCAGCCAAGCTGGGCACTTCAAAACAGCCATGCCATGGCACTGAGTCCCAGCCAACCATGACCCCTGGGCTTCCTGGAGGTTGGTGGAGAAATAACCCCACTTCCTCACCTCTTGTGAGCAGGGAACAACCCTACACTGACTCCCCCAGAGCCCCAGCAGGACTGCGCACAGGTGCCCACAGGCCTTGCTCTATGCCACACCTTTACGGGCTATTTCCTTCCCTGCCTCACTTTCTCCCTCCTCCATCACCATCTCCTGGGATCACCTCCCAAATCAGCTGTGTGCACTCAAATACTGGTCTCAGAGTCTGCTTCTGGGGAACCCAAACCAATACAGGAATTAGCTCTGCAGATACTATGAGAAGCTGGCTGGAGCCCCCTGGACATCTGGGGGCTTCACTCAACCAGTCTTTCCCACAGCCTGTAATACCTTCACTTGACAAAGGACTGAGGCTCTGACTCAACACAGCTGCCAAACAGCTCTACACATTACTCCGTACTGCCTTCCTCTCCTCTCTGCTTCGTCATCCCCCACCCACCTTGGGTCTCCATCTTGCATAAAGAAGAAGGGTTATCTTCCACCATCAATGCACCCCTGAGGCAGGAGCCCCCAGACCTGGAACTCTTGGACTCCACCCACGCTCCTGGGCTGAGGGAGGGAAAACTTCTCTGCATCCCCCTGAGTCTTAGCATCTGCAAATAAACACCCAGTGATATCTCAATAAATTATTTTGCCTCACAGGAATTACTGTCTTTGTTTTACAGATGAGATCAAGTAACATACAGCCAGTGAAATGATAGGAATGCAATCCTCACCCACTTGTCCAGGGCCCCACCTGAACCCACAGCAGGACAAAGACTCAGTTTTCTTATTCCCCAAAATAACAGTAGCAATTAACAGCCTCTATTCTGAGGGCTACTCAGTTCCCAGCACCTCTTATGAGATTAACCTTCCATTTTACAGATCAATAAACTGAGGCTCAGCAACAGGCAGTAACAGTATTTTGTACTTCTCTGCTGTCCTTCCCAGGACTTCCCTTTCATGGACAGACCCCCAGGAAATCTATATCTCAGCAGAGATCAGCCAATGAGGTAAACTGTTGGAATCCACCACGGGGCTTTAGCCAAATTCTTCCCTCCTGTTCCATTTGGAGAGACCAGATTTTGGAAGGGAAGGGAGATCTCCACGCTCCCATCAACATCCTGCACCCGTCCCTGATGACTGGGATGAAGAAATTAACCCCCGAGCCTTTGTCTACCCCAAGCATAAGGAGGACAGCACTTGGCAGTAACGCTGAGACCCAGTCAACAGATTTTAGGGGACCCCACCAACTTGTAAAGCATCTTCCAACCAAGAAGTCCATGCTCTAAAGTAAAGACATCCCATCTAAAATATACTACTGAACCATACTAACAGTAGCCATCTGCTGTGACCTCAGCCAAAGTGAGAACTTCAGAACTAGCTAACACCAGCCTGCCTTCATTTCCTGGGTGGCTGCTGCCTTCCAGAACCCACTGTCCCACCATCAGCTGTTCTGCACCAGGTGTGTCCAGCTGAAGAATGGAGTTTAACAACTGCCCTAACCACATCTTTAAGTAGTAGAAGGGACAGGAATTGATCACAAAAAGGATCCTGTGGAAAATCTAAAAGCCTCGGAGAGATGAATACAGCCACCATTGGGATGACTGCACTGGACAGCAGTGAATGACGGAGTCCCTGGTGACAGAGCCACGGCATTCACAAGGGTGGTGCCGGGACTCTCACACAGGAGGACCTTTGCATAGCAGCTTGGCCAGGAGTGAGGACTTGCAGTTTTGGAGCTGCGTTGCATAGTAACACCAACTCTCCCTTTCACTGGGTAGCCAGGCTCCTCTCTGGGACCTGATTTCAAATCCCAGATTTGACATGGACCTGCTGTGTGACCTTGAGTAAATCACTTAACCTCTCTAAGTCTCTGTTTTCTCATCTATAAAATGGAAATTAAAATAAGTAACTATTTTGAACCCTTCTTATGTGCCAGGCTCTGGGCTGACATCTACATCAGTTACCTCTATGAATCTTCACAATATCCAAAAGACATAGATGGATTTATTATTCCCATTTTTCAGACATGAAAAGTGAGGCTCAGAAGGGAAAGCAATTTGCCCACAGTTACGTTGGAGATTTGAACCCACGCCTGTCTGGCTGCAGAGACATGCCATCAATAACATATAAGGAAAGGTCATGGGGAATGGTCACAAGGTGGTCACGGGGCCCCTCCCAGCTCTGCCCCTACCCCTCGCCTGCTCTCCTCCACACGTCCCAACACATCCCCTTAATCAAGTAGGTTCTGTGATGGCCACATTCTGTATTAGGAGCCTCCACGGGGCCCTCCCAAGAGCGGGAGGCGATGTTCCAAGCTCCCAAGCTCTGGTGTTGTTCCTCAGGGAAAGGGCCCACCCCCACAGACCACAGGTCCCCACCCACTCCCTACTGGGGGTCTGCTGGCCTAGAGCCCACCCCTCAGGCCTCACTGACAGGCCCTATCCGTTTTGGCCAGAAGCCCCAGCCACCCAGGGCCAAGAGGACCCACCCCTCCTGCCACTGAAGAGCTCTCTGAGTGCCAGCCCTGGCCAGGGGCTGGACTTCCGGCCCATGTACCCACCCACTGGGCTTCAGAGCTAGAGTTATAAAAGTTGTATCTCTCGAGGAAGCTGGAGACAGAGGCAGAGGAGAGATTCCAAACAGCCCTATTCTTGGAAAGGTAAGGACAAGGAGGCTAACATAGGCATTTCTCAAATGTTTTTTGAGCACCTACAATAATGCAGTGAAGGGGTGTGCAGATTCTTAGCACCAGACAAGCCTGGGTTTGAATCCAGACTTTACCACCTTCCACCTTTGTTACCTTGGGCAATTCATTCATCTTCTCTGAGCCTCAGTTTTGCCATCTGAAAAATGGGCCTCCTATCAATGATCCCAGACCACTGTGGTGAGGACTCAGTGATGAGATGAAACTTGTAAAGCTCTCTGCAAGTGCCTGCTACATAGTCAGGACTCAGGTACAAGTTGGAGCTGGTATGGATGATTTAAGGTGAGAGATATGAGGGCTGGAAGATGGTATAAAATATTAAGGGCAGAAAGGGAGAAGAGATCTGACTTGGGTGAACTGACTGAAAAAAGTGCCTAAAATAGGGACTAAATACTGGTTGGATGACTAGCAGATGGATTTAAGATCAGCCTGGGAGCAAAATATGAATAGTTAATGCCATGAGCACAAATTTCCCAGTCCAAAATTCACATATGTAAACAAACAAAAAGCTTTTTTTTATATGACCCAATTTAATCATTTTGAGTTCCTGTGCCACCAAGCAGCAAAAAAAATGGATGTTATGAAAAAAAGAAAAATAAAGAGGGAGGAAAAAAAATGGATGTTATGGATTCGAGGCAATGCCAGGATTTTCTCAAGCACTCCAGAGTAGGCTCAGCTACTTTGGGGGTCTCCTGTCCTTGCCCACGGGCAGTGTTTACCCTCTGGGTGGCTTCTTAGTGAGCACGGCATTGGGGTCTGCTCGCTGACACTGGCACCTGCCCTGTAGTTGTCTGCATCCCATCTGGTCCCTGCCTTGCAGGTCCAGAGGCTGCATCTCCCAGTGGCACATCCTTGCCCAACTGGACAACCCTCTGCCTGCAGGCTCTGGGGGTCCCAACAATGCCTTTTTGGCCACCTGGCAAGATTGAAGTTCAGCTGGTAGGAACCAGTACAAATGTACTGATTGGAATATTGGAAGATTTCCCTGCTAGTCAGTAAAGAGCCGCCGCTTTGAGCTCCCTGGTACCTACTCCAGCCACTATGGTGCCTCTCATCCCCCATTTATGCCACACCTTTACGGGCTATTTCCTTCCCTGCCTCACTTTCTCCCTCCTCCATCACCATCTCCTGGGATCACCTCCCAAATCAGCTGTGTGCACTCAAATACTGGTCTCAGAGTCTGCTTCTGGGGAACCCAAACCAATACAGGAATTAGCTCTGCAGATACTATGAGAAGCTGGCTGGAGCCCCCTGGACATCTGGGGGCTTCACTCAACCAGTCTTTCCCACAGCCTGTAATACCTTCACTTGACAAAGGACTGAGGCTCTGACTCAACACAGCTGCCAAACAGCTCTACACATTACTCCGTACTGCCTTCCTCTCCTCTCTGCTTCGTCATCCCCCACCCACCTTGGGTCTCCATCTTGCATAAAGAAGAAGGGTTATCTTCCACCATCAATGCACCCCTGAGGCAGGAGCCCCCAGACCTGGAACTCTTGGACTCCACCCACGCTCCTGGGCTGAGGGAGGGAAAACTTCTCTGCATCCCCCTGAGTCTTAGCATCTGCAAATAAACACCCAGTGATATCTCAATAAATTATTTTGCCTCACAGGAATTACTGTCTTTGTTTTACAGATGAGATCAAGTAACATACAGCCAGTGAAATGATAGGAATGCAATCCTCACCCACTTGTCCAGGGCCCCACCTGAACCCACAGCAGGACAAAGACTCAGTTTTCTTATTCCCCAAAATAACAGTAGCAATTAACAGCCTCTATTCTGAGGGCTACTCAGTTCCCAGCACCTCTTATGAGATTAACCTTCCATTTTACAGATCAATAAACTGAGGCTCAGCAACAGGCAGTAACAGTATTTTGTACTTCTCTGCTGTCCTTCCCAGGACTTCCCTTTCATGGACAGACCCCCAGGAAATCTATATCTCAGCAGAGATCAGCCAATGAGGTAAACTGTTGGAATCCACCACGGGGCTTTAGCCAAATTCTTCCCTCCTGTTCCATTTGGAGAGACCAGATTTTGGAAGGGAAGGGAGATCTCCACGCTCCCATCAACATCCTGCACCCGTCCCTGATGACTGGGATGAAGAAATTAACCCCCGAGCCTTTGTCTACCCCAAGCATAAGGAGGACAGCACTTGGCAGTAACGCTGAGACCCAGTCAACAGATTTTAGGGGACCCCACCAACTTGTAAAGCATCTTCCAACCAAGAAGTCCATGCTCTAAAGTAAAGACATCCCATCTAAAATATACTACTGAACCATACTAACAGTAGCCATCTGCTGTGACCTCAGCCAAAGTGAGAACTTCAGAACTAGCTAACACCAGCCTGCCTTCATTTCCTGGGTGGCTGCTGCCTTCCAGAACCCACTGTCCCACCATCAGCTGTTCTGCACCAGGTGTGTCCAGCTGAAGAATGGAGTTTAACAACTGCCCTAACCACATCTTTAAGTAGTAGAAGGGACAGGAATTGATCACAAAAAGGATCCTGTGGAAAATCTAAAAGCCTCGGAGAGATGAATACAGCCACCATTGGGATGACTGCACTGGACAGCAGTGAATGACGGAGTCCCTGGTGACAGAGCCACGGCATTCACAAGGGTGGTGCCGGGACTCTCACACAGGAGGACCTTTGCATAGCAGCTTGGCCAGGAGTGAGGACTTGCAGTTTTGGAGCTGCGTTGCATAGTAACACCAACTCTCCCTTTCACTGGGTAGCCAGGCTCCTCTCTGGGACCTGATTTCAAATCCCAGATTTGACATGGACCTGCTGTGTGACCTTGAGTAAATCACTTAACCTCTCTAAGTCTCTGTTTTCTCATCTATAAAATGGAAATTAAAATAAGTAACTATTTTGAACCCTTCTTATGTGCCAGGCTCTGGGCTGACATCTACATCAGTTACCTCTATGAATCTTCACAATATCCAAAAGACATAGATGGATTTATTATTCCCATTTTTCAGACATGAAAAGTGAGGCTCAGAAGGGAAAGCAATTTGCCCACAGTTACGTTGGAGATTTGAACCCACGCCTGTCTGGCTGCAGAGACATGCCATCAATAACATATAAGGAAAGGTCATGGGGAATGGTCACAAGGTGGTCACGGGGCCCCTCCCAGCTCTGCCCCTACCCCTCGCCTGCTCTCCTCCACACGTCCCAACACATCCCCTTAATCAAGTAGGTTCTGTGATGGCCACATTCTGTATTAGGAGCCTCCACGGGGCCCTCCCAAGAGCGGGAGGCGATGTTCCAAGCTCCCAAGCTCTGGTGTTGTTCCTCAGGGAAAGGGCCCACCCCCACAGACCACAGGTCCCCACCCACTCCCTACTGGGGGTCTGCTGGCCTAGAGCCCACCCCTCAGGCCTCACTGACAGGCCCTATCCGTTTTGGCCAGAAGCCCCAGCCACCCAGGGCCAAGAGGACCCACCCCTCCTGCCACTGAAGAGCTCTCTGAGTGCCAGCCCTGGCCAGGGGCTGGACTTCCGGCCCATGTACCCACCCACTGGGCTTCAGAGCTAGAGTTATAAAAGTTGTATCTCTCGAGGAAGCTGGAGACAGAGGCAGAGGAGAGATTCCAAACAGCCCTATTCTTGGAAAGGTAAGGACAAGGAGGCTAACATAGGCATTTCTCAAATGTTTTTTGAGCACCTACAATAATGCAGTGAAGGGGTGTGCAGATTCTTAGCACCAGACAAGCCTGGGTTTGAATCCAGACTTTACCACCTTCCACCTTTGTTACCTTGGGCAATTCATTCATCTTCTCTGAGCCTCAGTTTTGCCATCTGAAAAATGGGCCTCCTATCAATGATCCCAGACCACTGTGGTGAGGACTCAGTGATGAGATGAAACTTGTAAAGCTCTCTGCAAGTGCCTGCTACATAGTCAGGACTCAGGTACAAGTTGGAGCTGGTATGGATGATTTAAGGTGAGAGATATGAGGGCTGGAAGATGGTATAAAATATTAAGGGCAGAAAGGGAGAAGAGATCTGACTTGGGTGAACTGACTGAAAAAAGTGCCTAAAATAGGGACTAAATACTGGTTGGATGACTAGCAGATGGATTTAAGATCAGCCTGGGAGCAAAATATGAATAGTTAATGCCATGAGCACAAATTTCCCAGTCCAAAATTCACATATGTAAACAAACAAAAAGCTTTTTTTTATATGACCCAATTTAATCATTTTGAGTTCCTGTGCCACCAAGCAGCAAAAAAAATGGATGTTATGAAAAAAAGAAAAATAAAGAGGGAGGAAAAAAAATGGATGTTATGGATTCGAGGCAATGCCAGGATTTTCTCAAGCACTCCAGAGTAGGCTCAGCTACTTTGGGGGTCTCCTGTCCTTGCCCACGGGCAGTGTTTACCCTCTGGGTGGCTTCTTAGTGAGCACGGCATTGGGGTCTGCTCGCTGACACTGGCACCTGCCCTGTAGTTGTCTGCATCCCATCTGGTCCCTGCCTTGCAGGTCCAGAGGCTGCATCTCCCAGTGGCACATCCTTGCCCAACTGGACAACCCTCTGCCTGCAGGCTCTGGGGGTCCCAACAATGCCTTTTTGGCCACCTGGCAAGATTGAAGTTCAGCTGGTAGGAACCAGTACAAATGTACTGATTGGAATATTGGAAGATTTCCCTGCTAGTCAGTAAAGAGCCGCCGCTTTGAGCTCCCTGGTACCTACTCCAGCCACTATGGTGCCTCTCATCCCCCATTCTTCCCCACGACCCAGAAACCTCCATGGTTAAAAGGAAATACTACATTTCTTAACATCTCACAAAGTTGCCCAATCACATTAACAGATTTTGGGCACATTGCTTGCTAAGTGCTTTGCATATATTGTTGAATGTATTCCTCACAACAACCTATGTTTTATCCCCATTTTATAGATGAGAAAACTGAGGCCAGGAGAGGTAAAGTAACTTGCTCAGGGTCACACAGCCAGGAAGTAGCACAGCCCGGATTCCAAGCCAGCCCATGTGATAGAGAAGGGCACTCCAGAAGGAAAAGCACTAAAATAATGAGGGGGGTTGGGGGCAGGCTGTGATCAAGGACCAGTGGATCTGGAGCAAGGGAGGGAAAGCTGGAAGGACAGTCCTAGGAGAGGCAGAGCTGGGAGAACCTACACAATGGGCTCAGTGGGCACACAGAGGTGGCTCTGTATCCACAGGTCCTGCTGGGAAGGATGCTGCTGTTCTGGGGGTCACTGCTATGCTGGGAACTACTGTCCCAGACTCAAGGGGAGGCCCAGCACCTGCTCTTCCTGCGAATCAGCAAGGATCAGGTGAAAACAGGTAAAAGGCATGGGCTTCAGGAGGCAGGAACTCAAGGGAGGAGGACACCACCTCCCTCCCCAAGGCTTCTCCTCTGGTCTCCCCCCCCATCAGCAGCAGAATTTGCCTTCCTTCTCCCAGAGCTGACCCCACCCTTTCCCTGCTCTAATACTTGCTGTGGCTCCCAAGTATCCTCAAGAGAACCTCTAAGCTCCCCATCTTGGCATTCAAGACCCTACATGTCTAGCCTCTTCCACCACCTGCCCTGGCCACCCGCATAGGCTTCCCAGTCCTCTTCCTTTCTTACGCTATTCCTCTGCCTATAATGTTCTTACCTTTCCTTCTGAACATGGTGAATTCTGACTCATTCTTTAAGGCAAATCTCGAACAGTCCCTCCGTTGGGAATTCCTCCCAATTTCCCCAGACAGGAGTCTCCTTCTTCTGGGCTCCCACAGCCCTTTGATGAAGCCTCATCTATGTTACCCTACATATTATCTATCTGTCTCTCTGTCTCCCTCTTGACCATCTCCTTATTGTTCATCTACCTCCTACCCCATTCACTACAGTCCAACCTCACTGATCTTTCAGTTTCATAAACTCACCGGACTCATTACTGCCTCAGGACCTTTGCACATGTGATTCCCCTGCCTACGCTGCTCTCCTCCCAGATCTTGCAGTAGTGGGTTCCTTCACTTCATTTGGTCTCAGCTCAAATGCCTCTCCTCCTCAGAGAGGCTGTCCCTGACCACACCATCTGAAGTAGCCCTTCACTCCAGTCATGCCCCAACTCACCTCCATTTTCTTTCCTTTTTTGTTTGTGGCACTTATTTCAGAAATTGCCTTGTTTGCTTATCAGAGTGCTCACTTGTTGTGTCTACCAGCTAGAATATATGCTCCAAGGGGCAAGAGCCACATCGCCTTTGTGTGCCCTGAGCCCAGAAGAGGGCAGGCACTTCACAAGTACTTGTGGCCCAGTGACTATCTAAATCGCTGACTCAGAGCGGGTGCTCGCGGGCATTTGTTGACTGACTGAGGGGTGAGCCCCTCACTGAGGAGGGGCTTGTGAACTCAGATATTTCAGACCTGTTTTCGGAAAACCACATCCTGGATCGCATGGCCAGGATGCCTGTGACGGGGGCCACAGGTGAAGGCGTCGCCATCCTGGACCACCTGCCCTTCATAAAAGAAGGCCTTTCCAAGAAGAGCAGTGGGCTTGACCTGTCGCTGGTCGGGAACCTTCTCTCAGGGAAGAGCCTCCCACTGCTGGCGGAGCTGCTCCAGGCCGGCGGGTGAGTCTGTGGAGGCTGCCTCTGGCCAGGCCTCCTGCCTGGGCACCGTAGTTTCCCTGAGCCATAGTGTTCTCGCCTGTCTAGGGGAGCGCCGGCCGGTGGGAAGGCCTGGGTGTCCTTACAGGTCCTCCACAGCATGGGAAGTGCTCAGCAAGTGCATTTTTATTGGTCTACACCTCCCCCAAGCTGCCCGAAAATCTCCAAGGAACAAAGCAGGGTCTAAACAGGAATCTCAATCTCGGCCTGGTAGCCCTCTAGCCCTCCACATTCGGCCTACCCCTGGGCGTTGTAGACTTGCACACTGTCTTTAAAAATATTTTAATGAATTGTCAACACTTTAAAGTGAAGAGGGGCTAAATCAAAATCTGGTTGCATTAGTTTGCTAGGACTGCCGTGGCAAAGTACCGCAGACTGAATGGCTTCAACATCATACATGTACCGTCTCGGTTCTGGAGGCCGGGGGTCCAAGAGGAAGGCATCAGCAGGGCTGCCTCCTTTTAATGACTGTGAGGGCAAATCTTTTCCATGCCTCTGCCCTAGCCTTGGGTGGTCTGCTGCCCACTGCAGTAAGTGCAAGGTGAACCACCAGCTTATATTATAAAACTCTGGGCTCCTCCTCGCAGCTCAGAGACATGCTGGGACTTGAGGCCACTGAGGAGAGAAAAGGTTCATGTCCTCCGTCCCAGGGGCTCACCAGGACAGATGGTCCCTGACTGGATGGCAGTGGGATCCAGGGGCACCAGCCGTCTTGCTTTCTCTGACTTACACCTTCTCTTTCACAGAATGTTTATGCCTGAATTCAAAGAAGTGAAATGTGCAGAGACAGCTCCTCTGCTGTATTCTCCCCATTTTGTAGAGGGTGATACTGAGGCCCAGAGAAGGCAAGGGACCTGCCAAGGTCTTCAAGTCCTGGAGGCTGGAACTAGAGCCCAGTGTTCTGCAGCTGGGCTGGGGAACAGGGAAGGGGATGTCCCAAAGCTGCCCCCACCCCTCTGGGGTCTGCCCCTATTCAAGCCAACCCAGACACACAAACTCATAGAGCCACAGCGGTCTTACTGGGCCACACCAACACCCTCCATACCTATTTCAGGTTGATTATAGAAGATGCCAAAGGACCTGAGGTCACCCTGCAAATCCTGAGCAACAGCCTGCTGCAGGTCACACTGCGATGCAAACTGTACTTTTCGCTCCAGGAGTAAGTACACTGGGCGCTCCCTCCCCACCTCCCTCAGTGCCAGGCACCCCACCCCTCACTGCGATGACTCATGTGGCAGCCGGGCTGGGTTAGCAGAAGCCTCTGCCTGTGTCTCCACAAGGCTCACAAGAATCCTTCCTACTTGGGCATGTTTCAAAGCCATTTTAACAGATGGGGAGACTGAGGCATGGAGTGGGAGAGGGACCTGCCCAGGATCACACAATGAGTCAGCAGCAAAGGCTGAGATAAAGCTCTCTGGCTTCCATGTCAGGGGAAACGTGCCACATATAAATAAAAGGCAGATGCACTAATGGGATGACCTGAGGAGGGTCTGGTTTAAGCCCACCCTGGAGCCTGGCACACCTGGATCCAATCCCACTTACTATCTAGGCGACTTGAACAAGGGCATCTGTTCCCTGAGCCTCAGTTTCCTCATCTATAAAATGGGTCCCCTAGTGCACTTGGCTACTGCCAGTCTGAGAGTCTGGATCACTCACTAAACTGTGGATGATCATGCCAATCTGGGGTTGCAGAAACAACAGCCAAACGGAGAGAGTGATATGGATGATGTGTGCACATGAAGCAGGGATATTCTTAAAGGTCTTTTAGGAATATGTTCACTCCTGTTTTTCTTGGAAAATGTAGATTTTTCCATCTAGCCTCCCTTTTTAACAGAGAAGTACAAAGAAATATATCTTTGACAGAGATGTGGACACAGAGAAGTATTTCTCTGCTGTACAATAAACATATCATCCTCGTAACAATGTACAGTAAAAATGCAACTTGACCCTTGGCCTGAGGGGGACTGTAGCAAACTGGGGAGCATGTGGCCCATCTCAAGGTCAAGTCATTGCCACCCTGGGAGGATCTTGGCCTAGTGTTGTCAGATCTTTCAAAGTTTTCCAAAGTGTAAACTCTGTATTTTTAACAAATTCTCCTAGTTTTTTATTTGAGCCCTATAGGCAACTGCAGGCCACTAACCTGTGACTTCTGGCCTCAACCTTGGGCTGTGGCTTGGAGCCTGCCTAGACATGCTGCTCCTATAGGATCCTGCGGTTCAGAATCATCAAGAACATCCGCATCGGGGTACGGCTGGAACAGATGGAGAATAAGACCAAAGTGGCCTTCGAGGAGTGCCACACCCCACCAGGATACCTGAGCATCAAGGTTCTGGAGCAGTAAGCACCTGCCCTCATGTGCCCTTCCACTGGGCAGGGACAGGTGCCAAGCCTTCCCGCACGGCTCCTGCTGCTCAGCCCCTCACTAAGGCTGCCCCTCCCCAGCCTAGTTGTCTAGAATTACCAAGGATGTCAGGGCAGGGTCATCTCCAAGGCGATAAGCTGCATACACCATCCTTCAGCATCTCCTGCCTCCATATGGAATGTCATGGCTAAGAGCATGCATCTACTTAGGTCAGATTTCGACTTGGCTACTTCCCAATACTGCAGCCCTAACCAAGCTATTTGACTTCTAGAAACCTCTGTAAAACAGGATCACTCACAGAACCCAGCCAGCATGGGATGGTTGTAGGGGATAGATGAGCTAACCCATGTCACTCACTTAGTACAAAACCTGCCATGTAAGGCAGCCACTGTTTATGATTCTTATATTTACCAGAACAAAAGCCACCTCCTCCAGGAAGCCTTCCATGACTTCCACTGCCAGGTGTGATCTCTCCCAGAGACGTTTATCAGAGAAAAAAATAAAGAGACAGAGGCAGAGAGTCAGGGTCAGGAAGAAAATAAAGAAGAGCAGAGGAAAGTTAGGGAGAGAGAAAGCAAGAAGACAAGGAAAAAAAAAAAAACAGAAAAAAAGGGGGTAAAGAGGAGAGACCCACCAGGTGGGGAAGGAAGCAGCCCCTCTGAACTTCCATGTCATGCAGGCCCACCCCCCTCAGCCCTGCCCTGGATTCCCATTACTGCCTCAGTCTCCCCTTCCATGTGTGTCAGACCCCACCTGCTCTCCCCTGCCCCAGGATGGACTCCCTCCTGGTGAACAAAGCTCTGGGGCTGGTGACAGGCGTCTTGGACAAGGAGTTGCCCTTCCTCCTGCAGAAGATAGTGAGTTGCTCATTACCCCCGGCCCCCTGGGAGACGGGGGTGGCCCAGAAGGAGAGCCCCTCGAACTGACCCCAACCCCGACGCGGACCCCCCTCATGCCTTCCTTCCAGGTGTGCCCTCTGGCCACGACCCTCCTCAACTCACTGCTGGAAAGCCTGTTGTACGTCACTCTGCGTATGTAACTCCTGCCAAGGGAGGGACTTATCTGCTGTCCCTACTGTGTGCCAGGAACTGGCCTAGGCTCTGGGGATGATGGGAAACAAAAGAGACAAAACCTGCTCACAGGGAGCCTATTTTCTAGTTGGGGAGGAAAAGGGCAATACGCCTTATGACCTTGGTAAGTCATTTCCACACCCCAAGTCTCCGTTTCCCAATCTGTAAAATGGGATTAATCATGGGCCCGCAGAGTGGACTGTTGCAATAATACATACAACCTGGCACAAAGTTATTGCTCAATAAATGTTGCTACAAGAAGCACAGGCCCAGCCCATGAGACACTTAAAGCTAAGCAGAGAGAATGAATTCTCCCTGCTTTGCTCCCTCCCCATGAGGCTGAGCCCAGTTTCATTTCCTCCCTGTAGCCCCACACACCTCGGGCCCAGAAGACTTCCAGTACCATGTGACCGCCACAGAGCTCACAGAGGAGGCCATCCTGATGAAAGTCCAGGTGAGCCAGGGCAGACCCTCCAGGGGCATGTGCTGGTCAGGAGCGGGTGGGCAAGAGAGGAGGGGAGGTGCAAAGGGGAAAATGAGACAGAGAGGAGGGGGAGGAGGAGGAGCAAGCAAAGGAGGCAGTAGGCAAAAGACGAGGAGAGAAAGAAAAAGAAGGGAGAAAAAAGGGAAGACCGGGCAGGCCTCTGCCCTTGGGAGCTCATGCTGAGCCTGAGGAGTCCAGCCTCCACCCCAGGGAGCAGGAGAGGCCCCATGGCCATGTGTCCTGTGAGCAAGGGTCAGACGCCAGCAAAAGGGCAGGTGTAGCAATGCAGGAGCTGCAGGACCACGTCTGACCCCCAGCTGGACAGGACCCTTCAGATGGGGAAACTGAGGCCCAGAAAAGGGATGAGGCCGGCTGCCCAACTCCCATCCACTGCTCGTTCCCTATCCCCATGGAATGGTAGGAGGTGGGTCAGGAGGATGGGAAGGATTTGATTGGATAGGAGGAGGTGCTGTTAACAAAGGTGCAGAAAAGGGAACAGAGTCAAAAAGGGAGAAAACAAGAAAAGGTCCTTGTGGGTTCAAAACCCAGCTCCACCGCTCACCATGTGCAGGATCCTGAGTAAGTCACTCCACCCCTCAGGGCTTCAGTTTCCTCATTTGACAAATAGTGACAATAATAATCCCCTCTCCTGGCGCCGATGCGAGGGTGAAAGCAGATTGTTCACATGAATGTTCAGCACTGGGCCTAGCACATAGTGAGCCCTTGATATGTTAGCTGTAACCAATTGTTGGCCAGAGAGGCTGTTCCCACTGAATTTCTCCTTCCTCTTTCATTTCTCTGAAGCTTATAACCCCCTGTGGCCCAGGCCAAAGATCCCTAAGGTCTGACCACCTGGCCTGGCAGCCGCTCCCAAAATTAGCCCAAGGCAGCATGGCAGACCTGGCCTTTTGGCTGGAAACCTACAATGACATCCTGTCCTGCCTCTATGCCAGCAAGGAGATCCATGTGGACCCTCAGGACCCCATGGTGAGTGTTTGGGAAGAGGAGTTGTTGCTCTGTTTTCCACAAGGGGAAGACAAACCCCAGGCTGGCAGAAGTGCCTTTCTAGGTAGGCCTAGGTAAGTCACTCCCCTCTCTGGACTTCACCTGGAGAACTCCCATTCAGACTTCAGAACTCAGCAAGAAGTCCCCTCCTCTGCAAAGACTTCCTTGAACACCCAGGCTCCTTTGTTGTTCCACACTTTGTAACACTTATCCGTTCATTTATCCCATAAATATTTATTGGAGTCCTACTGTGTGTCAGGTCCTATGCACAAAATGTTCAGTCTTGTGGGGGAATAGAAATCAAACAAGAAGGCAGTCCAATAAATAAAATAATTTATATTATTTATAATAAGCAGAGCAATGGATCAGCAAATGACTGGTGGAAATGAGAGGGCTACCCTGGATGCTGTAGTCAGTGAAGACATCTCTGAGGAGGTGGCCTGAATAGGAAGGGCAAGTTCCTGGTGTCAGGGAGGGAGAAATCCAGAGACATCACTGCTCAAAAACCCCCAGCAGCTCCTCATCACAATCAGAATAAAATCCAATCTCCTCTCTGCATTTCCTAGGCGATCTTGCTCTTGCTTACCTCTTCAGCTCTGTCTCCTCACCCATTACACTCCAGCCACACAGGTTGAGCTGGTGCCCACCTCAGGGCCTTTGCACATGCTGGTCTCTCTGCCTGGAACACTCCACATTACTGGTGTCAGTGTAAATGTCAACTCCACAGAGAGACCCTCCTTGACATCTAAATGTCTAAAGTATCCAGATTATCTAAAATAGTGAAAGTATCTCTCTTTCTCCCTTTCTTTCCTCTACCTCTTTCCATTCTTCTTTTTTTTTATTAAGGTATCATTGATACACAGTCTTCAGCTCAGCTTTCACATGAGCAACATTGTGGTTACTACATTCCCCCTATTATCAAGTCCCCACCACATACCCCATTACAGTCACTGCCCATCAGCATAGTAAGATGCTATAGAATCACTACTTGTCTTCTCTGTGCTATACTTCCTTCCCCGTGTCCCCCTCCCCCACATTATGTGTGCTGATCATAATGTCCCTTAATCCCCTAATCCCTCCCTTCCCACCCACCCTACCCAGTCCCTTTCCCTTTGGTAACTGTTAGTCCATTCCTGGGTTCTGTGAGTCTGCTGCTGTTTTGTTCCTTCAGTTTTTTCTTTGTTTTTATACTCCACAGATGAGTGAAATAATTTGGCACTTGTCTTTCTCCACCTGGCTTATTTCACTGAGCATAATACCCTCTAGCTCCATCCATGTTATTGCAAATGGTAGGATTTGTTTTCTTCTTATGGCTGAATAATATTCCATTGTGTATATGTACCACATCTTCTTTATCCATTCATCTACTGATGGACCCTTAGGTTGCTTCCATTTCTTGGCTATTGTAAATAGTGCTGTGATAAACACAGGGGTACATATGTCATTTTGAATCTGTGATCCTGGTCTCTTAGGGTAAATTCCTAGAAGTGGAATTCCTGGGTCAAATGGTATTTCTATTTTTAGTTTTTTGAGGAACCTCCATACTGCTTTCCACAATGGTTGAACTAATTTACATTCCCACTAGCAGTGTCAGAGGGTTCCCCTTTCTCTACATCCTTGCCAGCATTTGTTGTTGTTTGTCTTTGGATGTTGGCCTTACCTACTGGTGTGAGGTGATACCTCATTGTGGTTTTAATTGCATTTCTTTGATGATTAGCGATGTGGAGCATCTTTTCATGTGCCTGTTGGCCATCTGAATTTCTTCTTTGGAGAGGTGTCTGTTCAGATCCTCTGCCCATGTTTTAATCGAGTTATTTGCTTTTTGGCTATTGAAGCACATAAGCTCTTTATATACTTTGGATGTCAACCTCTCATAGCATCTGTCATTTATGAATATATTCTCATCTCTTTCTATTCTTTAAGTCCTTCAAAACATAGATCACACCATATGTATGTGTATGAGTAAAGTTATATATGCCAAGTTATATATATATATATACACACACACATATATACATGCATGTATATTTGCATATATTTATTTACCTTCACATGTTCACTGTCTCCCCCATTTTGAGGACAGGGACTGTGAACATTATACTATGTGAAGGGCACATATCAGTAAACATTGCAATGAAATCCTAAAATCCACATCTAGAAGAGATCTAATGTTATTGCTACATTTTTAACATAGGAAACAAGGTCCAGAGAGTGAAAATGACTTGCTCAAGGTCACCCAGCAGGTGGGATCAGGACTGGAGCCAGGTCTCCTGCCTCTTCATGCTGTTCCCTCCTTCCCGCATGGGTGTGGCAGCTCTGAGACAGAAGTAATTCCATGTCTACAGAAATTCTTGCACCAGTGGGCAAGGGTATATGTGCAAGGGCCTTCTTTGTAGTTTCACTTGTTATAGGGTGAAAAATAAAGTTAACATAGGTGTCCATCGTAAGGAAGGTTATGCCCATACAAGGCAGAATACTATACAGCTGTTAACAAAGAAGGGATTGTTCTACACATACTGATGTTGAGAGGAACAAATGAGATGCAGGACCACAGGGTTAGAAGGTTTCCATCTATTCACGCTGTGTGTGGGGGAAACTGTCCGTCACAATATACTCCAGAATGTCAACAGTGGTTACTCCCAAGAATAGGATTTAGAAGAAACAGGAAAGAAGTGTGGGTGGACTTTTACTCTTTACATCATACATTTTCGTAGTGTTTTTTTACAATGATTTCTGATTTTCAAAAATCAGTAGAGCATAGATAGATGGATAGAAATGTGATAATGTCAGTATAGGAAAATGTTAATGAAAGAACTTAGGTGATGCACATTACATGTTCTCTATCAAATTCTTTCAACTTTGCTGCATGTGTGGAAATTTTCAAAATAGAATGTTAAGGGAAAAAGCATTGAAATAATACAAACTCAACCCTTCCAGATAAATCATGGTGAGAAACCAGGCGAATGGCTCCTCACATGCTGAGACTGATGGTTGTGCAGGTGGTACATTCAGTTGGGGACAGTTACATCGCTTTGAACCCCACTGAGTCTGCCCCCCCCAAAACTGCTCATAATAGGTCTATAGGATCCTATAGGCTAGCACACATTTTGCCCTTTTTCCAGGCCGCCGACCTCATTCAGCTGTTGTCAATGAGAGAACAGGAGCACAGACCCCAGGTGCGTGTGTTCCCAGCTCCTCCTCCAGCACCCTGGCCAGGATCTCAGGAAAGATTTTGGGACAGGGGGCACGATCAGGCCAGATGGACATTCCATTTGCCCAAAATATTCCACTGTGGACTCCAAATATCCGTGTTTCTGCTTCACTGGTGTTGTGAGGATTAAAGGAGATGCTTTAAGTAAGGCATTTAGCTCATTACCCCACCCAGGTGGCCATGGCCCTGGGGCTGTCATTATCATTCACTACTGAACAAGACCCCAACCTGCTAAGGCATGCTACTGAGGCAGACAGATGAGCACAGAGTAGATAACAGTGAGCAATGACCAGGTGCCAGTGCCAGGCCCCCCAACCTACGTCGACATATTCCTCAGAAATCCTGCACTTTCACACCTTTTTAAATGTGGGGTGTTCTTTTCATGAGGTTTTTTTAACATTTTTATATGAGGCTCAGCAAAGTAAAATCACTTGCCCAAGCTTCTATTGCTCAGTAAATGGCAGAACCAGTCACCTGGACTCCAAAATCCAGACTCAATGCCCTCTCTGCAAAGGCTCTTAGAATATAGCACCTAGTAAATAAGCAACAATAACAACACCCACAATAGATAACAGTAACGCTACTGGGTGCTGGGTTCTATCTAAGCACTTTACATAAATGAACTCATTTAATCCCCACAAAAACCTTATGGAGTAAAAAATTGTCCCCATTTTACAAGTATGAAAACTGAGACACAGAGAGGTTAAGAAAGTTGTCTCAAGAGACACAGCTTGCAAATGGTGAGGCTAGGATTCGGCTCCAAAATCTATGCTCATACCTGCTATGCATGCTGAGGAGAAAGAGAATGTGACCTCACCCCAAAGGAGCTCAGAGAGGGTAAATGATCTTCTCAAGGTCATGCAACAGATTGCTGCAAAGCTAGAATGAAAACTCAGGCACAGTCTTATTCTCATTCCTCCAAGCTGGGGGCTGAGGAACACCATCTTCTATCCCTGCCTGCATCTGTTCTGCTTTAACCTCATTCAGACTTCTAATCAGTCCAAAGGGAATGTGGGACTGACCATCAGCACCCCTGACCCTCCCACTGTCCACCTTGAAGGCCATCTGACCAAGGTCATCCAGCCGGGCTCCCTGGTGCTGCTGGGGCCCAGCAACACCTCCTCTGTCTCAGTTTCCTGGGTGAGTAAGCCTTTAAGTTTTTTGTTCCCCAGGGGCCCTCAGTCCACTTGAGGGCCACTCTAGGGCCACCTGACTGAGGCAGCTGGACAAGGGACAGTGGCAAACTGAGCTCTGTGTCATCTGCACCAAAGAACTGCACCTGTTGTTAGAACCTTAAAATACTTTAACACCTGCTCCCCTAAGTTCAGTCCCCATGCTCCCCAAAGACCTCCTCAGCAACTAAAGGGATTTGCTCTGGCCCCCTCTGCTCAGGGCCCTCACAGGGTGCTTGTTAGGTCTTTAGACTGTTTCCCTTAGACATGGCTGCATCAAAAGCCCTTGTCCACAAAACTGGGAGGAAGATCAGAGAAACAGTTCCTGGAGGACCTAAATGTGTCTGTGTTCTCCACTCCCCAAGAGAGAGGTGACCCAGGCTAGAGAGGGCTCCACCCTGGGAGGAATTCTGGGGAACTACAGCTCCCCCAGAGTTTCAACGTCTCTATTCTGAGACCTCCTTGGGATTCTTATTTCCCATTCCACAGACCTTGAAATTGTGAAGGTGTGTAAGATAAGGGAGGCAGACAGAAGGGTTGTCCCACCACAGGTGAGCCCAGCCATATCTAGTGTGTGCAAGAGAATCCTAGTTGGTGTGATTCTGTGGCCAAGAAATCAGTCTTCTCTGGCCGGAGGTGAAAAGTCCTGTTTCAGGTTTATAAGGTGACCGTGTGAATGACGGAGGCCCAGACAACCCCCCCTTCAAAACCAGGTTTTCCCTCCATGGAGCTGAGCGCCCCCCCATAGGGAGCTGCAACCTCCCTTGCTCTTCAGGAGCACCCAGCAACCACCAGTGCCCTCTCCCATGGCAACACCCACACACGAGCCAGCAGCGGGGGCACAGGGAGAAGCCTGGGGAGAGCGGCCAGCCTTGGACGAGTGTTCATGGGAGGTGGGGACAAGGGAATCCCCCTGGCCGGAGCATGAATTCCTCTCCTGTTGTGACCTAATTTCAACTCTTCATAGAAACTCCTTTCAACAGCTATGTTTTCCTCAAGAAATCAGAAATTAAAACTCCAGTTCATTCCCAACAGGTAATGTTTTTTGATTTCGGATGTTCAGAAAGAAATAAGATGGCTGACCAAGCAAACGATGGGGGAGAGAGCATGGTTAAGAGGTGCAAGTTTCCATGCCTGCTGTCAGACAGCCAGTTAGGGGAGGGAGGGAGGAGGGAGGGAGGGGCACGTGTTGTGACAAAGCTCATGGAGCGCTGCACTCCCAAACAGCAGCTGTCACCTAAAAGGGTGATTGCTCTCTTTTCTCCAGTAGCACCACAGTCACCCTGGGCGCCTACCCTGCTGGCCTGGCAAAGCAGGTGAGTCACTTCTTACCCTTGGCCTCCCCAGGGTCCAGAAGGACCCCCCAGTGGGCCCAAAATGGGTCCTGGGTCACTGACATTAAAGGCTGAAAGCCTCACTCCCTTTCCATCACTGACCTCGTCATCCCACTGGGGCAGGGGGAGCCCCCAGAACTAAAATTTGTCTATTTCATTCTTTTGTACACTTAAATACCTCTGAGCACCTACAATGTGCCCAGCCTTGTCTTATAGGTACTTGGAATTTGTCAGTGAACAAAACAAAGGTTCCTGCCTTCATGGAACCCACATTCTAACAGAGAGAGGTCAGATAATAAACACAGCAAATTAGGTAAATTATGTAGTATGTAAGCAGGTGATAACGCTGTGGAAAAAGTAAAGGAGGGGACAGGGGATCGGGAGTGCAGAGGCTAATATTAAAAAGGAAGTGCCCCACCAAGGCTGAGTGTCCCCTCTGTGAGTGTCCTCACCCGTGGGCTTCCCAGAATGGCATCCTAAGCCACCTTGCTGCCTGCACTCATATATGGCAGTGCAGAGTTTCTGCCGCGGGGGCGACTGGTCTGGGCCCTCCCCACCCCTGGGGCACTGGCCTCACCATAATGAGTCCATGGGGTGGAGAAACCTTCTCTTTCCCCGGGTCCTGTTCTTGCTCCTACACTGAAGAGCTTTTCACTGCCCCTGCCTGCCTGAGGAAAGCCCCATAAAGTAATGCCCCTTGTTCCCTACCCTGGGGACACTGCACCACCCTCCACTTCTACAGGACTGTAAGCCCATGCTCTAGCCCTAACAGGGGAAAGCTGCAAAACAGCAAAACAAATCTAAGGGCTGAATGAGAACATGTACTGGGAAACATTTCAAGATTATCATCCCCATTATATCAGGTCTTGCTACAATCTTAATTGCATAGAATCCCAGGCTTGAGAGGTCCTAAAGAGCACCTTCCTGGATCAGGAATCCCTTCTGTGATGTCCTCAGAGGGCTGTCATACAGGCAAGGGCTGCCATGTTGGTTTGACAGGTCATGTACTATATAAGTCACCCACATCAATGACAGTACAGGTATGAATGTGTTTATGACAGGCCCCCGACAGGTGGGGTAAAGAGTGTCTTGAAGAAAGGGAGTCTTTTTCCAATCCGTCCAAACAGGTTGGGGCAGCCCTGATTAAGAACTCTTGAACATCCTTGGTGACAGGGGGCTTGCTCTCTCAAGGAGACAGTTCTGCCCCCTTACCAGGCAGCTCTTGGCAGTGGAGAGTCCTCCTTACACTGAGCCGGAGTTGGTCCCTGTAAAGCTCTGGCCCTGGGGTTTCCTCTGGCCCTACCAGTGCTTTTCCTGGCTGCCCTGCAGACAGGAAGATAGTCATTGTGACCTGGGTGGGGGCAACTCTTTCTCAGCCTCCTCATCTTTCCCCAGTCCCTTCGCTATTCTGCTCATCTGGCTCCAATGCCCTTTAAAACTGGACTCCCCAGGACTTCTCATCTGTGGGCACCTATTCCCATGGTCAGAATCTGCCAAGCCAGCTGAAGTGGCCTTCCTGTTCCTCTTTTATCTATTGCAGGAAATACGTCTGAAGGCCCTTCTCTTAAAGCTTCTAAGGAGGTCATTTTTGCCACATCACAATGGTGAGCCCACACTGGGTTTCTCTTCATGCCCACAAACCACCTGTCTTGGAGCAGCATCAACTGTGTCCTCTGCACAGGCAGCTGGCTTCCACCCTGCCCCCTGAGCTTGGTTAAGAACTGCTCCAGGGCAAGACAGAAGGAGGCAGGGTAGAAACCCTGAAATCTGAGGTGTGTCAGTGAGGGGGAGGGAAGGGGCTATGTGTGCCCTCCTGTTCTTCACCCAGGCAGCTAGTGGTGATAGGAGCTCAGGTATGTATGGGGCGAGTGGCCAGGAAGGGTTTCTCAGGGGAGGGGGAGGTTAGCAGTAAGGAAAGTGAGAACAGGAAGGGCCCTCAAAGGTGGTGGAACCCACAGCTTATGACTCCAGCGTTTGCAGGCCCAGGTGGGTAAGTAACATAACCAAAGCAGCAGCCCGGGTGGGGCCTTCAGCAGACGTGCCTGGCCTTAAGTGGGCATCTAACACGCAGCTCAGTCAGTGTTGGCAGCAGGGCAGGTATTTTTATCTTTGAGCGATGCCAGAGAGCTGAGCTTTTTGAGACATCACTCCCATCTCTAGATATCAGTAATAAATTCAAACTCTTCCAAAACACCACTCCCTTCGTCTGAGCTCTCTATATAGTATGTGTGAGTGCATGTGAGGCTGTAGACCCTCAGATAACAGAGCACAGGGAGCTTTTTGGGAGGTGGTCCCAGGAAGCTGGAGGCATGTGGGGAGTGAGTCCTGCCAGTCGAGCTCCTCTGCCCCATAGAGCCCACCACTTCCCTCGCCTCATGCCTCCCTGATTCTGCCCGCGTAACAGCCGCCATCTGCCCACGTGATTATTTGGTCAGGCCTGTGTTCCTGACCAGATGGCGAGATACCGGAGGGCAGGGACCCTCATCTTTGTTTTTCATGAGGAGACACTCAGGGAGTCCATGTAGGATAAACAGCTCAGACCTCACTCACCTCTGAGAAATCACCTGGCTCAGCCTTGCTGTCTTTCAGATGGGCCCAGAAAAGTTAAGTGACTTACCCAAGGTCTTACCCAAGTGACTCACCCAAAGTCTCTGGCAGAACTGACCCCAGAACCCTGGCTTCTTGTTTCCTGGTCAGGGGCTTTTCTGTTTTCCAACTCGAGGACTCATGTTAGGACTGCAGAGTGAGGCTAGAGGAGCAGGCAGGGGCTCTAATGCTGGCCAGGCTGAAGTGTGTGGCATCTGTTCCATGGCCTGTGGTAGCCAGGACTGTTATGGGCATGAAGCAAGCAGATTTATATTTGAGAATGGGGGCCAACTGGAGGTGGGGGACAGTCCAGCAAGGCAGCCAGAGAGTCCACGCAGGCAAGGGTGCAACCTGCCTCGGATGAAGGGAAGGATCAGGGAGAAAATATCCTACCCTTGCCACTGCCTACCATGAGCAGCTAATTCAGCAAATGTTTCTTAGATGGTGGACCATTGAGAGCCACAGTGAGGCCCAGGAAGCCTATATAGTCCTGCAGGGTCTAGACACCCAGGCCAGTGTGTTGCACAACACCAGTGAGTGCTGTTCACACTGATGTCCTGTCCAAAGCTCCCCCATGCAGAGAAAAAGAGCAGGGACAAAGGCACTGAGGGAATACAGGAGGACCACCTGCAAGAAGCAGCTTTAGGGTGAGAGAATTGGCAGGGAAGAGTCACAAAGCCTGTGCTGCAGGCAGAGTCACCTGGTCCCAACATAGCAAGAAGACTGAAATGGGGAGGGATCCGGATGCTGGGAGCTGGACGTCTGGTGAGGAGGCTTCTGCAGACCGGAAGACAGATGGAACACCATCCCACCCACCAAGTGGGCCAGACCAGCACATTAGGCTAGCAAACGGGTGTCAGGCCCTCCCCTGAGCCGATAGTGATGATGGGGCCATTGCGTGGGGTGAGGGCTGGTCAGCGCAAAGGAGGCGCCCAGGCTAGGCCCACAAGGTCAAATCTCAGAAACTCGGTTTCCTGAAAATCAACTGGCCAAATGGTTAACTCTTTGAAACTCAATAGGTTGCAAAATGATAAATTCTCCAAGTTTATACCACATCTACCAAAAATTTACTCTAAGGACTGTTTTTTATATGAGTAGTATATTCATGAATATTTTCTTTCTTTGATATATTTCATGGATATTTTCTTATTAATATAACCAAATTTCTAGTGTTTTAAAGTTGATTTTTATCACTTCTTTCTAATCCTTTTCTGAGGTATTCTGTTTCTGCCAACATTTTAGCTTTATTAGGAACACATTGTGTTTTCAGTCATTTCCCTCAATTAAACAAGAATAAAATTCATTAATAGATTCCCAGGAAGCCTTCAACAAATTGAGCATTGCTTAAAATGTTGTTTAGAAAAGTGTTTTTATAAAAAGGGTTCATAGTTACTGAATATGCTGGAGAAGAAATTCCCTTAAGATAGGTTTTTAATAATAGGTAAAATGTTTAGAGACCTGGCTTTCGGGACTGGGGCAGCCTGGTGGGGAATGGAGAGGGGGTCCCCTGGGAAGGGGAGGGAAGAGGGGGACACACCTAGTCCCCTCCCTGTTCTGGGCAGTGGAGCAGCCAGGTGTCAGCTGGTCTGGCCCCACGCTGCCCCGGCCCTGCACCCACAAACACCGCTGCCTACCCCTCTCACAGAGCTGCTCAGAGAACAAGACCTCCCACTGCCCAACATCAAGGGCATCTCCTTTGGCCAGGCCCGAATGGAGCCCTCCGAGGTAAATGCTGGGAAAGGAGCTCGTTGAGACACACATGGGGGGTCAGAGCTAGAAGGGCCCTGGACTCTGCCAGTGCCTCGTCCCCACACTGCAGAGGCAGAGCTGAGGCTCGGGCAGAGAAGCACTCCCCGTGGCATGCCCTTAACTCCCTTATTTCACCATCTCCTCACTGCCATTCTGGATGTGGTGCCCCATTTACAGAAGAGGAAACTGAGGCTCTGAGGGGCTCCATGAGTCCCTCGGTGAGCCAGACCCTAGGCTAAAGGAGAGGGTCAGTGCCTTACACAGGTGATCTTCACAATTAGCTCCATGAAGTTGTGCTATTATTTTTCCCATTTGACAAGAAGGTAGTAAAGCTCAGAGAGGCAGGACAGCAGAGCCAGGATTCCAAGAGGGTTTCACCTGACTTCAAAGCCTGTATCCTTAATGCAGACAACTCGCCACCATAGAACCTGGCGTGTCCTGAACCAGAACAGGGCTGTTGCCTCTGGTAACTGTGAACTATCTGTGAACTACCAGGGGCTGGGAACCAGAGCCAGCCCTACGCTGGCTAACATGCCAGGGAAGTAAGTTGCAGCCAGAGACCAGAGGGCAGAGGAAGCCATCAGAGGGAGCTCAGAGGTGCTGCAGGGGGTCTGCAGCTCCTGGAGTCATCCTGCCCCACCAGCCCTCTCCCCTTCCCTCTGCAGGGCGAACCTGGGAAGCAGCTGATGGGCGGTCAGTGGGAAGAGGCAGAGCATAGAGAAGCCCTTCATTTCTTTCTTCATTCCCACCTTAAAAAGATTCCCACTCTTAACCAACAGCACAGGGAGGGACTATAGGGGAGAGGCAGAGAGATAGAACCAGACAGAACCTCCTGGCTGTGTGGCCTCAGGCAAGCCACTGCCCCTCTCTCAGCCTGTTGCCTCTGTCTGAAAAATGAAGATAAAAATAGTTCTCCCCATGAGCTAGAAGTGAGGGTTCCCCCCACAAACACAAGGAACTGTTAGGACCACTGGTTTTGCCTGGCCCTACTCTAGCATTAGACAGGATGTGGCCACCATCCCAGACATAAAGTTTGAGCTTCAGGACCCTCAGCTGATACCCAATCCTGGACCCAGAACTCCCAGTTCCCAGACCTGACATCCAGGAAACACTAGAAACCTGCTTTCAAGAAACCCAAGTTACTGTGCAAAAGGAGGTAGGAGGAGACAACAGCTGTGTGTCTCATGAAACCCCGACTCCTGGCCTGTGCTATGGCTCCACCTCACCCCCAAGGCCCTCCCCTAATTCAGCCCAGGGAGGCCCTAGTAGGAGGGCTCAGCCCAGGGGGACCCTAACAGGTCAGGGCTAGAAGAGCCACTACAGGTAACACGTAGGCTGCGGCTGCTCCAGAAATGATGCCACAAATCCTGGCAAAGTGGCCTGGTGGGGCAGGAGCCCCTCTACATCTTTGAAGGCCAGAAAGAGCAAAATCAGGGCACAGCCCCAGCAACTGTCTCAGATAGAGGCAAGTGGGGAGAGGAAGGGTGGGCTCCTTGCCTCGCTCGCTGATTCACCTCTAGGCTGCCTTGCACTATTATGCCGGTTACATATTACACACCTCCAGGGGGTACCGCTCATACCATAGTTCACATGGTGACACCACCTGGGGTTGAGCAGTACACAACCTACATATCTTTATGTGACTGCCCTGATTTCTTTTTCATTCACTATCACACATTCATTCAGTCAACATATGTCACTGGCTGCTCTGGGCCTGGCCCTGTGCTGGGTGATGCTGGGACAAAAAGATGGGTTTAGACCCAATCCCTGAACCCTCCAGGAGGTCCCCTGCTGGTGGGGAAAATAGGTGCAGGAGCAGATGGATTCCAGCAGCGTGGCTGGGTCTAGCAAAGGTTGGGGCACTGTGAGTGGGACCATGTGGAAGGCTCTGGCTGGGTGGGAGGCCTACTTCAGGGAGACACCAGCAGGACAAACCCCAGGGCATCAGAAACATTAGAGGACGCTTGATACGTAGGCTTCCAGGAAGAGCTCCAAAGACTGGTCTGTTCCTTCCCTCTCAAACATTCCCTAGGCCATCCTTCGCCTCCACTCTATCCCTGGTTCTGTTGGTCCCTGACTCTGCCTTCTTGTCAAGAGGGGAAGGTGTGTTCTTAGGACACATGCAACCCCTCTTGGATGTGCAGGGGTGAGAGCGGGCTTTATGGGCGGCAAGGATGGATGGGGTGCGTCTCCCTGCTTCTATCCGCAGGATTACCTGCTGCTGACTGTTCCTGAGGAATAAGTGGTTCTTACTGAGGGCCAGTCCCTCCCCTCAGCCACAAGCACTCTGGATCCTTAAGAGTCCAAGAATGGCTACAGTCACAGTGGAAAATCTCATTTGCAATAAAGATGATTCTTGCTTGAGAAGGACTCTGGTTCTGAGTGTGCTAAGGGGTTCTGGGAGGTGGCAAGGCTGGCCTGAGATGTTTAAAGGAAGGTTTTTCTCCCTGAAGTTTCTGTTTGCCCCTGGCTCCTTGGAGAGGTTTTATGAATTTTGTATTCAGTGTCTCAGGGAGGAGAGTGTCCTCAAAATATGGAGAAAGGGCTTGAGCCTCAAAAGCCCAGGCCTGAAAGGATGGGGTGTGGCAAGAGCACTGGGAAGCTACACACACAGGAAAGGTTCTCTGGACAGGGAGGAAGTGCAGGGGGCAGTTTTGGGGTCCCTAAGAAACAAGGAACCACAGGAGCCCAGAGATATTTGGGAGGTCCTGTGTGCAGAGGAAAGGGGCTAAGGGAAGCAACCAGACTCTCAAGTGGGGAGCTGGGTCCAGGTGGGTGATGGTGAGAAAGCTGCATCTCAGAGCTCCCTGGCGCCAAAGGTGTGGCAGGCAGCAGAGTGATTTTCATGTGCCCAAGAGCAGTGGCACAGCCTCCCTCCCCAATGATATCCCAGTCCCACGTAGCCCAGGCAGGGCAGGGCAGTGAACAGAGTAAGGCCAGACACCAGAGGGCTTTGTGGTCAGAAATACAAACAGCTCCATGGTTGCCAAGTGTGGAGAGATGGCAAAGCAGCCAGATGCCCCCCCTCCACCCCTGGGCACCTGCCAAAGCCCACAGCAGTTAGGCCTGGACCCAGAAAAACACAGATGAGGAACTCTGGATTGTGATATAAGCCCCACCACAGGCAGGATGGAAGCTCGTAATAGTCTCTGTTTTGGAAATGAACAAAGGGTCGGCAGCCTATTAACCTCCCCAGCTTCCAGACACTGGAGTTGTGGGCGAGGTCCTCCCAGAGGCCAGTGCTCTGCCAGGAAACCAAAATCAGGGTGGGTGCCTTGCACGTCTGACGCAGGGGCCCTGTCCTGTAGTAGGGGAGGTTGAAGCCCAGAGCAAACCACACTGTGGATTCTCTACCTGATGCCCTGACCTGTTTCACCAATGTGAACCACAAGGAAAAAAGTTCTCAACAGAGATCTTCAGGCGGGAAGGCAGGACCGCCCTGACTTAGGCCCTTGGAGTGTCTATATGACACGTATCAGATAAGGTGAGGCTGGGAGATACCACCCCAGAGGAGGGTTGAATTCATACCCAAACTCAGAATTTTCCTACCTGTGTGTAAGTGCATTGCCTGCTGTATGGTAGACGCTGGGGACAAAATGATTAAATGGGGACCTCCTCAGGACCTTGAAGAAAGCTGAGTGGGCCTTGGCTTGCTCCACAGCAGCAATGACCTGTCCAGGCAAGAAAGAACCTTTCCCACCAGCCAGGGAAGCACCTCATTCCCTGCCTGTGATTTTAACAGGTGCATTTCACTTTACAGTCCACAGATACTCACATCTATCATCCCACTGGATCCATACAGTACTGTCGGGTGGTGCCTGCTAGGGTGTGCAATTACCCGAATTCGCCAGGCAGGGTAGCCCACACCACTTCTAATGTTGTGAGTCAGGACGCTGGCTGCAAAGACCATTTCCTCCCTCCACCCCATATAGCGTCTCTCTGCTCCCATTCTACTCCTCAGGCCTCTAAGCTCAGCTGGGGAGCGAACAGCCCTCCCACTCACCTGCTCAGCTGGCCTCACTCCTGAAGGTCGTCTTAAGGAAATATACCTTTAAGAAGTGGCTTTCATAGTTTTCAAGGCTAATGATCCATTTCTTTAAATACAAGCTCACAAAAGAACCTGATACATAACACAGATGACAAGAATGTTGCTCTGGTTAGAATGAGGCTGAGAGCTGGTGCTCTGCCCCTCTAGTCCCACCTCCTGAGCCCCTGAGTGGGCACCTCTGAGGAAGCTCTGGGCTCCCTGGAGCTAAGGCACTGAGTTACCAAGGAGGGCCCCAGACCATGTGCCATCAAGAGCCTAGCAGCAGAGCACTGAGGGAAGTAAACCCAGGATCGATTTGACAAGTGGAATAACTTAAAGGATGGGGGGGTCAATTCATCAGAAAAAGAGAAAGGGGCCTAAAAGGAGGAGCACTATTTCCCTCCCCAGCAAGGCACCACCATCCTCACCTAAGGGCTCTAGCTCTCTGATTCCTCTACACCTCGCCCAGAGCCTAGTCAGATCCTGGGGCCCTACTTTCGAGATGGCTCTCAAACCCACCAGCAATACCATCACATCTCACCTGAACTATTTCAATTGCCTTCTCCCTAGTCTCTCTGCTTCCACTCTGCCCCTCCAGTCTAGACGTCATGTAGCAGCCAGAGTAGGCTCTTCAAACACATAAACTAAATTATGTCACTTCCTGGTTAAAACCCTCCAATGGCTTCCCATCCAACTCAGAAGTCCTCACCACAGCCCACCAGGTTCTACCTGAACTGGCCCCAGGCTGGCTCTCCAGTCCTCTCTCCACTCCCCTTCCCCACTCAGTCATACTGGCCTGCAAGTTGTTCAAACACATCAGGATCTTCCTTACTGCAGGCTTGCACAAGCCATTCCCTTTCCCTCTTCCCTCCACTCTGCATGGGGTAGTATCTTTTTATCCTAAAATCAACTTAGAAACCACCTCATCTGAGAGGTCCAGTACAACTCCCATCTCAATTCTTTTGAAACACTTAGC